CTCAGCAGTTCTCCATTTAGGTTCATACTTCACAGCCCTGTTCCACATAGTGCCACACTTTCTGCCTCTAAGCTTTTCTTAGTTCCACATAAATCTTTTAGTTGGATCACTCAGCTAACATTAGACTCAAAATGAGTTATTACTTTCATCTCTACCTTACCTTGATTTTGATTTCTTTGTGTTCTCGAAACATTTCTTCTGCTCATGTCCTTAAGTGCTCCGTCTCCTACGCAGCCGCTATAGATCTGCCTTTCTAGTGCCCTGGGCATCCTCCACAAAGGCCCAGCACGGTTATCTGATCTTAGCTGGTTTCTAATGTCTCGCAGGGCGTGCAGACCTGCGCCCTCTCCCTCAAAGCGAGGCACTGTTTTGTTTACTCGCTTCGCCTCTTTCCCACAGACTTGGGGATGCTCCTTCAGATCTTTTACCATTACGTTAAGGCCACAGCCACTGCACATCTCAGTCCTAGCTCCGCAGTAACTTTCATGATCCTGAAGCTTATTGAATGTAAGCTGGATGTCACAGTGCTGGCAGACTGCAGGACGCAAAGGGCACGCCAGTGTCTAAAAAAAGAAGAAGGGATTATTCTTCACACACGGAAGACAGAGGCAAAGGTAGATGGAGGTTCTCACTTTACTTTAGTTGAGCTTGCTATTGTTTCTCTAGCGAGATACAAAGCTACACCGAAGAGCAGTCTGAAATAAAATACTATACAAGAAACATAAGAACGATACATTGTGTAACCTGTGTAGTCAGAAAGCTGTCAGCTGAAGCACTGCTAGTGTCCAAAACATTCCTTTTACATCTGTAATGCTTTAACAGCTGGTTCACACAGTGCTTCTTAAAGCTAGTTTTTAAGAAGCATTCTTCACAGCCACATTTAGGCACTGCTAAAAGACATATTAGTGTGTGCTATACCAGCTAGCAGACTTGCAGCACATTTTCCACTCGCTCTTCACCCTACACTGAAGCTAAATATATATATAATACTTGTTATAATTGAAGATGCTGCAATAGCACATCACCACTTTGGAAACACAAGTACTTCACAAACTTCCAGCATAAACTACTTGTAGTGTTTCGGACTGGGTGTATCTTCAAAGAAAAAACTGTTTTATTTCCTCATCAATGAGCAGATCTGCATGGCACTTCCAGAGTCTTTCACTGAGCCCCAAGGAAAATAAATAAAGGAATTTATAACAAGGTTGGCTGTGGCAGCAGAGAACTGCATTCCAGAACCCAAAAAATCCCTCTGTGCTCCAGGGTAGTTTATTTCACAAGGTGTTTTAAAGATGTCTGTTTGGACACAAGTTATTAAAACTCATAACAATAGCAGCAGATACAAAAATGAATAACATTAGCTGATTTTTTTTTTTTTTTTTTTTTTTTTTTTTTTTTTTTTTGAGTTAATAATTGTATTCTGTACTTCTGAGGTCCTTTGCCACTTTTCATCTTGATCACTAACAAGAATCAAATTACTAATTATCATAGATAATGCTTTGATAGGAGGGCTTGAGCAAGCAGTTTCCCACAACTTCTTTCATAGAACTTGAATTTAGAAAGCATTAAATAAAAGGGATGCAGACTGGAATCCAGGTCTTGGCTGACAGAAGGACTCAAGGAACAGCACTTGGAAATACCATGCAGAATCTCCCAAGTGTGTATAAATATAAGGTACACCAACCTCGTGATCCTCCAAGAGGCTTTTTTCAACCTTCATACTGCACTTGCAGGTAACCTACAATAAACAGACCTCATTAGATCAGATGTCACAGAAATCAGCAACTTTAGGGGAGAAGTGTTGCCATCACCTGCACATGTTCAGAATCAACATGGTTCTTCATCTCAGCCTTTGGGACTGATTCATTGCAGTAATGGCAGACTTCAAGATTTCTGCTACAGTGGATTTCGTGAATGGTGAAGTTAGCAGCAGGAATATCCTTTTTGCTATGAGAAAATCACAGAGATCACTTCTCAGAAAACAACCTGACAACAATTTTAAGTAATTGTTTTTAAAGAAAAACTGCTAAGAAGGCTTTCTACAATTCTCCTGTTTAGAGAGCCAAGGAAAGAGGAGAGACAAAGAAAAGACAAGCCCAACCAGTGTTCCTATGTAGTCACAATGCAATCTATATATATTGCAGAGCTCACAATTTATCTTAAGGCAGCCTGAAGGTTCAAGGTTGATCCATTTCTTCATGTGAAAGAAAAATATAACAGCATACACATGTTATCATCAACTTCAACAGACTTATCTGAAAAAATAAAAAATTTCCTCCCCAAAACAACTTGGCTCTACCACTGTCCAGCACTGCTCTGCTTGGAAAAACCAAATAAACAACTCTGTTATGCCGGATCTTTACCTTCACTGCCTATTGCGTTGTGTCCTTCCCTGCCACAAAGTAAAAACACTGCAGGTACCAAGAAGTGAACACCTGGCCAAGCAGTGTGACCCAGCAGCAGCATGTGAACTGCATGTACTTCTGGCAAACAAACCAGACTAATGCTGAAAGAAACAGTTCAGATTTCAGTGTCTCTCTTAGAAAAAAAATGTGTGTTCAGCTGCTAATATTTAATATGCAACTTCTGAAAACCACATCATTATCAGTAGACATATGACCAATGCTGGAGCTCCTGAAGAGAGCTAGCTTATCAAAGAGACACAAGTGCCACATCAACATGTACATACTGACTATGTTTACATCCCTGCCTCCTAAAAACCTGTGTCAAGAAAAGCTTTGAATCACATCCTCCGTGTCTACCTCACTGCAAATCAAGCTTTTGTTTTTACTGGACTGCTGTGGTAGCTGCCCGGTAATTCAGGAACTCAAGTAATGGTTGGGAAAACTTCGTTATAACCCATTAATACTTGGAGAAGGGGGAAAGGGGGAGGGGAAGAAAAACCCAACCGTTTCTAGAGAGAGTTGTTCGTTGACTCATAGCTTCTAACATTTCGTAGCACCCCAAGGCGATGTTATCACCCACCCCATCCCGCCGCCAGGTCTCGGCCCTTACCAGTTGCCACACAGCTGGGTCTGCACCTCCGTGACTGCAGCCATGGCCGCGCTCCGCTCGGGAATCGAAAGTGACAACACAGGCAGTTTCACTTCTGCTTGCTGGGGAGCCGCCCCCAACGGCTGCGCTCCCAGCAGCCGCCCCGGAGCTCTGCCTGGCAACAGCACTTTGCGCTCAGCGATCCGTCCCGGGGCACCGCGCCTCAGCGGCGGCCGGCGGCTTCTTCTTTCAGCTCCGGACCGGAACAGTCTGCGCCTCCCGGGGACGGCAAGGAGAGCCCTGCTCACCGCAGCGGAGCGGGGAGGCGAAAAAGCGATGAAGGAAGCGGCCCGGCAAGAGTTAACGACCAAACAGCCCGCACACCGCGCACCACAACCCGCCGACACCGGGCCCGGCCCCGCGCTTCCTACCGGCCTCTTCACGCCCGCCCCCTTCGCCCCCTCCCCCCTTCTCCTATTGGCCAGCAGGGAGCCGTTCCGCGAGCCGATTGGGTGAGGCGGTTGCCGCTCACCGGTTAAACGGCCCTCTGCCCCGCTCGGCACCGATTGGCTGACGCAGACGTCACCGGGCAGCGGGGCGGTGCGGCCTGGGATGGGGCTGTGAGCGCGGGGCTCCGTCAGTTGTTTGTTTGTATTTCCTCCTCCAAGGAAAGCAGCTGCTTCCGGAAGCGCCCCAACCTGGGCCGGTCCACAGCTCCATCGGTGCTCGGAGCACTGGGTGTCCCCAGGGATGGGGCACCACCACCTCACTGTGCAGTGCCTCACTGCCCTCAGTGCAAACAACTTTTTTCTTCTACCCAGTCTAAATCTCCCCTCTTTCAGTTTGAAACCGTGTCACCTTGTCCTGATTTCAAAAACCTTATCTCCTACTTATGCAGGAAAAGGTCCCACATCTTTACTGCGGTCTCGGGACACGCCTGGCAGCAGCCAAGCACAAGCACAGAGCTGCTGGGACTGAACGGTGTGCAGCTGCAGATGGTGCAGCGCAAAGTCAGCACTGACATGCAAGCCATCACAGCAAGGGCCCAGCTGGGCTCAGGCACTGCTTCCTAAGTAATGCCTCACCTTGCCTCTTCCAAAGCCAAAAGCAAACAAATGGGCATTGGCACAAAGGCAACCACGGCTCCTGATCTCTTGCCAAGACCGCTCTGCAATCCGCTTACAGCACAGCCCAGAAGCTGCTCACAAAGGACACACATGTGCTTGTGCTCAGTTTGTCCCACCCACACTTGGCCTGGCAGGGGGAAACTCAAAGCTATAAGCTGCAGAAAGCCCTCAACTGTGGGACTGAAGCAGAACCAGCCAGGGTAGGGTTATAAGAAAGGGATGGACTCTTCAGCACTGTCTGTTGTTATAAGACAAGGGGAAATGGTTTCAGACTAAAAAAGGGGAGATTTAGATTTGGATATAAGAAAGAAGATGTTTACGATGGGGTGGTGAGGCAAGGCACAGGGTGCCCAGAGAGCTGGTGGTGCTCCATCCCTGCACACAGCCATGGTCAGAGGACAGGGCTGTGAGCACTGCTGGAGCTGTGGGTGTCCCTGTGCACTGCAGGCAGTGGGAGCAGACAGCCTTTAAGAGCCCTTTCCAACTCAAACCATTCTACGATTGTATGAACGAAATAAAATCAGTCTAACCCATCAGTGTACACACTGGCGCTAAGTTAACATTCACACTTCACCAGGCGGAACCGAGGAACCAACGGCCACATCAACGCACCAGCCCAAGGACCCTCACACGAAGATGAGGGGAGCAAGTGCTCCCAGAGATATAAGACCCTAACTTAGCATAAAGCAACTAAAGCCGCACGGCAGTTTCAGATCTAACACGTTTCGGCACAGCTGCGAGCTACGTGAATACAAGCACCACACCAATGCTATCGCTACCGCTACCGCTATCGCTATCGCTGCCGCACGCAGCCCCCGGCCCGGCTCGCCGCGCCCCCGCAGCCATGTCACAGCGCAGCGGGGCGGGCGCAGCGCTTCGTGCCCGTCCCTTTTACCCCCGCCCCCGGCGCGGCCCGGCCCGGCGGCTGCGCACTGCGGTTCTGCGCTCTCATCATGGCGGCGCGGGGCCATGTGCAGGACCCCAACGACCGGCGCCTGCGGCCCATCTACGGTACGGAGCGCGCGATCCCTTCCCTGCCGGGCCCGGCGTGCAGCGCCGCCGCCCCGCGGAGCTGACCGGACCCGTGGGGCCTCGGCGGGGGGGCGGGCGGCGAGCGGGCCCGGTGTGTGCCGCCAGGCCGCCCCTTCCGCCCGGCGCTGAGGCCTCCCGCCCCGCGGTGCCGGGGCTCCCGGCTGCGTCCCGGGCTCGGGGCTCCGTCCCACCGCGCTCCGTGCGGTTCTCGGCGCTCCCCGCACCTCCGTCTGTTGCTGTGCGTTTGGTTTCTTAGCGGAGCTGCTCGGTCCCGCGCCTGCCCTGCGCATCGCTGTGCGTGGGGAGTTGGGGTTACGGGTCGGTTCATTCGTGTAACGAAAACAAACGAGCGGTCACGGGCGCTTTAAAGTTGCGTGCTGAGTGGCACGGACTAATGACTTTGTTAGGGAAATTAATTTGAAGATGAGCGACGTTAGGAGGAGCGGTAGTGTTGGGAAAGCTCTCGGATGAGCTGCCCCGAAACGTTTCCAGGGTTGTTGCGTGCAGTTGAGATTGCTTAAGAAATTGTTAGCAAGTTTCTGTGTGTATGCAAATACAGAGAAAGAGAAAAATCTGCTTCCCCGGGCTACAGTGTCATTCCTGCTCTGAAACAGCAAAACGGATTGCAGTTCCAGAACACGCTCACGTTTCCTTTCAGTACCTCTCCCTGCAGGGCCGTGGCGAGCTGCCGCTGCCTTGGGCTGCCCTTTGCCTGGGCGCTGCTGTCGCAGGGAGAACAGCTGGGTTCAGGTTTGCATCCGTTGAGTTCTGGAGAAACCCAGGGAAGCTCTGTGATTGCTTTTCTTATCAAGCCAAACTGTGTTTTAAAGTTTGTTGCATCATTGGTCACAGCCATGCGGTTTAACAATTTCTTTTTTGTATGTACTGCAATTATCATATTTACTAGCATGCAGTTATTTTTGCTTTGTATTATGTAATGTCTGTTCTTAAACCGATGCAGCTGATGTTAACCCAGGTGATAGGCATTTCCTTGCATTGGTTTTGGAGCATAGCTGTTGATGAGAGAGATCTAAAAATGCTTTCTGCTACTTCTGCTCTGTGAGGTCTGAATTCCTTTTTGGTGCTGCTCCTTACACAGGATGAAGCACAACTTCACAGAGGCTGTCGGCAGGCGATGAGGTTGAAGGTGATGAGGTGCAGAATGAGGTTGAAGTTTGGTCTTTTACTTTAAAAAGTGCTTTTCATTTTGCACCTTGTTCCTTGATTTGCTGGGGCTCGTTGACAGATGAGTTTACCATCTGTCTTCTTTTGTCTGCTTTCACCTGTAGGTTCACATGTTGCATTTACAGCCATTGAACGTAACCACCCGCAGACTTGTAGCTAGCGTAGACTTAAACATTCTTTTCCTGTAGTTGGAATTTCTTTAGGAGTTGCCAACTGCTTTGGCTTCCAACAAACTTATTCCTTGTTGCAAAATAGAATCCTTTTATTGTGCAGTTTAGAGAGGCTTGTGGTTTATTTGATTTACTTCAGAAGACCTGAAGCAGAGATGCTATCTGTGCAGCTAGCTGTTAAACAATCCCAGGGCAGGCAGTGCAGGCTGGCGGGTAATTTGTGTGCGAGTGGAACTTTATAACATGGATCCTTAAATCAAGAAATCTCTGCCTGTGCGTGGAGAAGTTGCTGGGATATTGTGTTGCAGAATATTTAAAACCTCTTCACTGAGAAGTCTCTGCTGAAGCTTTAAGGTTAAATGTGATGCACAGGTTTCCTTAGGTTGACAGCTAACTGGTGTAGCGGTGCTGTGTTACAGTTTCAAATGGTCTGAATATCTGATACAGCAGCATTTTGTTTTGGTTGGTGCGGGCAGGCAGCCTCATTTGAGGTTTTGTCTCTGTGGTCTCAGGAGTCCAATTAGCTCTACTTTAAATCTGCACCACTTGGCCCTGGAAGCAAACTCTAAAGCTGTAGAATATAAATCTCATTAGTATAGATGCACATTTTGTACAACGTACCGAGGAATTACTAAAGGTCACCTCTTGACTCATTAAGAGTTCTATCTCATAATGAGAGCTGCAATCTTGAAGAGAAAAGGATGTATAATGTCATTTCAATATTTCAGCATTAGATCTGCTCATAATTTGTTAGGGGAGAGGCCAGAACAGCACAAGCAGTCCCTTCCTTGTTGGCTTGTCAGCTGCAGCTTGGTTTTTCTGCTAGGTTTGGGTTAATAAGGATTAATTTTTGAGGAAGGGGAAGAGTGTTGGGCCCATGCTCTAACCTAAAGTTAGAGTTACTTGTTTCAGACAATTACAGGCACGATAATGTGGTGTAGGGGAAGCTGAAATTTAAAATACAAAGCTGAAAGAAGGAGAAAATGGTCTCAAGGCAGGTTGTTTTTTTTTTCTTTCTTTTTCTTTTTTTTTTTTTTTTTTTTTTTTACAGCTGTAGTGTTGTGCAACTGGATAGCAGAATATCTCCACTCCTTTGTCTTTAGAACTGCTCTGGTTAAGGCACAATGGTATTCTATTATGGGACAGTCTTGCTCTGCCTCAAATACAGAGCATGTGGACAATTCATCTTACTTAATACTTTGATAGATTGCAAGCGTGTTGTTTCTGACTTACTGCCCATTAAAAGTCATTGAAAATCTCCCAGCAGCACACCCAGTTAATTCTTTCTTTTCCTGAAGTGAAGAGTGAAATCTCAGTTTCTAGTGAAGGGCTGTTGCTGCAGAACCTGCTCTGTCATACAGCTCTTTTGTTGGTATGATGACCTGCGTGGAGTAATTACAGAAGCTTGTTTGTTTGGATGATTAGAACTAGTACAGCAAGGTGATCTCAGTCCACGAAGTGACACGTTTTCTGACTGTTTGGTTTAGGAATAATTGTACAGGGAAAATGCATTTTGCACCACTGCCCTGACAACATGTAGCCTTCAGTATAATTAGAGGTAGCCTTCTAGAATGGTTTTGTGTTCTGTTTTAATGCTGTGTGTGTTCTTCTTACGCAGATTACCTTGACAATGGCAATAATAAAATGGCAATCCAGCAAGCAGATAAACTGCTCAAAAAACACAAGGATCTTCACTGTGCAAAGGTAAGTATTGTTCACTGACCTCGTGGTTGAGCCTAGTTTGGGACTTGCAGTGCTCTGCTGTGCTTTTTTGTGGTCTGATCTTCCAGAGACTGCAGTGTTCTGAACACTCTGGAACATCTGACTACTCTAATTCATGCAATTCTTTGTTTGCCTGAAAAATCCTGCAGGTCCTCCAAGGGAGGTGCCTCTGCTGACTGGTGTAAGTGGCTGCACTTGCTAATTGTCTAGATCCCTATCAGAGCCACTGCGAGCAACCAAGGCAGATGAGCTGTGCCTTTAAAAATGCCTCTTTGAGACCTTCAGTTGAGGTACCTATTTGTAGGAGTTTATTTGGGAGGCATAATTTTAGTGAAACATAATAAGGTATTTTCTGAGGCATTGCTCTTCTGCTCCTCATTCACAGTCCTTCTTGCTGTGCCCCTGCTGAAGGGAAAAGAGTTTTGTTCCTCAGTTTCTTGAACGCTTGAATATCTTTCTATTTTTCCCTATGGATTTTCCTCTACAGTTTGTATCACTTTCACATTTTGGGGGCTTCCCAGGCTGAAGCGAGTGTCATTGACACGAATCTCATTTATGTCCCTTTTCTCTGGCCACTTATTAAAAGAAAAAATGAAAATTGGCAGGACTGGTCAGTTTTGAGCCTGCAGGTAGGAAAAACTGAGTTGCAGATGATGCCTTAGTGGCCTGCATGTGTATTAAGAAATAGAAAGCCATGCTATTTGATGCAGCTTGCATTTGGAAATTTTCCACTTCATTAAAAACGTAAGTTCTCTAGAAGTAATTAGGTGCTTGGGCAAACCTTCTCCTCTTGAGGAGTGAGAAGATTTTCACTGGTAACTGCCAACTTTGTTTTTAACAGTTGCCTCTGTGTTATATCAATAGGTTCTAAAGGCAATTGGATTGCAGAGAACTGGCAAGCAAGATGAAGCGTATGCTCTGGCACAAGAAGTAGCAGCACTTGAACCCACAGATGATAATTCCTTGCAAGCACTAACTATTCTTTACCGGGAAATGCATAGACGTAAGCTGTTTCCTTTGCTTCTCCTAAAAATCATAGTTATGTTCTTTCAAAAGTATACATGACCAACAGTTTCATGGGAAGTGTATGAAGTCCAGAGTTCAGATGTGTTCAAGCATGTTATTAAGGGGCTGGGGAATTTAAATGACATATCACAAATATCTCTAAGGCTCCACTGATCACCATAAAGCAAAGAACTTTGTATAGGCTTCTCTTGTTAACGTTATTGTGTGCACAGTTCCTATAAAAGAATGGCATGCCATAACTGTCCATCATGATCAGCATGAGTTTACTGATCTTGTTGTTTAAGTGAAAGGATTTGTTGTTGTATGTAATAGGGATGACTAATCTGTTATGCTGTTAGACTGTAGTCAAGGGGTTCAGGCCTTGATAAGCTGTGTAATAAACAGAAGGGAAATCCTGGTCTCCCATTTGATTTTACCTTTGTGAAATCAGGTCCTTGTAGCAATACAGTATTATAAAATTTGAAATTGTGAACGATTGACTGAGTAAAATTGCATGAAATTGTATAAAAGAATCCAGACCTCACGTGCTGCTACCTACAGCTCTGCAGTTGTTTCTGTCAGCTTGTGTTTCTTGGTGGCGATAGCATTTCCTGTTGAATTGCAGGAGCAAATGACAGTGGTGTGAAACAACTTTTGCAGAAACAGATGTCAGTGATGTGTAAGCTATGCGAAAGCCACACCACGTGTCATTTTTAGTATTTTTAGTAGAGGTGGGATTTCAGTATTTAGGATTTTTAGTAGAGATAGGATCGTATGTCTAAAGAAGAAAAATATTGGAAGGATGAGAAGTTTTGCCTACCATAGTGTCCTAATTATTTTGTCATGATAGACCTACTACTAAGAAATACAGTGTGAAGTATTTCACTTCCTAAGAGGGCAACAGAGAAAAGAGTGAGAACTCTTGGGCAAACCTTCAATAAGAGTAACTAACTTGATATCAGGTTCTGAAAATGTTTTGTGTTTTGATGCGCAATTCACATGGAGTCGTTCTGCCAGGACCAGAAGGTTTTGATTGAGCTTAATAGTCCAAAGCAGATAAATTTGCTCAAGGGAAGTACTTGAGTACATTTCTGAGCAGTCCAGTTGTTGCTGTTAAACTATTCTTGGTTTGTTCTGTTCTTTGTTTTTCTTTTCTTTTCTTTTTTTTTTCAAAACAGTTTCCTCCTTAGTCTACTGTTTGTAGTGCTTGGGATCTTAAAGGAGTGAGTATCATTTCTGTGGTTAATGAGTATAATTTGGTTACTCTTCAAAGTATCACTGTTGCTATCTTTAGGTGGCTGTACTTTAAATGTAGCCCCAAACGTGTCTTAACTCAAGCATCTGGTTTTGATTTAGCGGAACTTGTAACTAAACTTTATGAGGCAGCTGTAAAGAAAGTCCCCAACAGTGAAGAGTATCACTCTCATCTCTTCATGGCCTATGCCAGGGTTGGAGAATACAAGAAGATGCAGCAGGTATGATCAATGGTTCATGTTCTAGTCTTGTTGAGGTGTCACAAGCCTTTTTTTGTTTGTTTATTTAAAAAACGGTTAATGCCTCTTCAAGGTGCATGTAATCATCCAGAGAGATAGGCTCAGCTGATGCAGAAGTTGTGCTCTGTTTTTGCAGAAGGGCTGAAAACACCATTATTTTAGGGAATGGGTTATGTGAAGACTGATGTTTCACTTCACAGGAGTAGAATGTGTGCATATGTGCTCTGATGGGCCATTTTGGAACAGGAGGTTTTTGTCTTTTCTGTCTTGAACACTGTGGTACTTACAGTGTATTATAAAGCAATTTGGGAATAGGTACAAGAAGGTCTAGCAAGATCTTCTGTTCCATGCTTTCAGTCTTGATTTATTCCTTAATTTACTGTTATCTTTAGGAAAAGCAATCTTGCCCATGCTCCCACCTTTGAAATCTAACATACAATTAGGCTTAAACATGTTTGCCTTCACTGAATCACAACTAAAAGTACTTCAAGTTCATCTTCTCAGTTGGCAGAGCATTGTCATGCTGGTTAGTTTTGTTTTCATCACTTCCAAATTAGGTGCCTGGAGAATGCCTAAAAATGGAGAAGATTCTTTTCAAAACATGTGCGTTCACTCTTCTGTATTAAAAAAAAAAAAAAAAAAAAAAAGAGCCAAGTAAATGACTCTTAAAATCCTTGCTTCTGCTGTGTTAAGGTGACTTGAATTTTTATATGCATGGTTTGAATAACTGAAGGAAAATATATTAAGCTGTAGTGTTATTCTCCATTGTAGCCCAGCTTGTAAGCTGTTTGAGTTCAAGTTGTAGACAGGGGCAAAGCTATTGATGTACATGATGTTTACCAAGGTGGCAAACTTTATGTAAGCATACTAAGAAAGATTAAAAATACAGCATTACTGTGTATCTGGCCATAAGCCTGGATGTTGATTAATAGAGATCTGCTTTTTGGTGTTACCTATATTCAGGTGACCTGATAAGAAGGCATGACTGTGTGTTAAGGTCTGAATCTTGCGCCCTCTGGTAGGGTGTGGTATTCCACTGATGGTTATGTAACAGCAAGCTAAAGGATTATTGCTAAAAAGGTGTGTGTGTGAATACAATGTTAAAGAGTTAAAGCCTGTTCTTGCTTGCTGCATAAGTCCAAATCAATTTTTGCAGCCCTCTCCCAAAAAAAAAAATCAGTGCTGGAAATATCTTGCTTTGCTCTTAGCAAATAAATCTGCTTCCTGATGCAGTTACCATTTCTAATTAAAGCTGTCATCTGTTCAGGCAGTCATACGTGCACATGCTCATTGCTGCTCCTTGTCAAATTTGCTCAAAGTATTTCATCCTTGAAACTTTCGCTCTCTTTCTTCTTCAGCAGTGTGTTATGGACAGGAAGGATTTATGGGTTGATTAAAAGCTCTCCCATCTAGTTGCTGTTTTCAAGTTGCTTGTTGCCATCATTGCTGCTTAACTTGCATTGTCTGTCACGAGACTTCATAAACAGATGCTTTAGGAATAATTAATCTGTCTTATTTTTCAGGCTGGAATGGCACTTTATAAGATCGTACCCAAAAATCCGTACTATTTTTGGTCTGTGATGAGCCTGATTATGCAGGTCTGTACACTGTTCAAAATTAGTCTGACTTTTACTGCAGCTGTACTGCAAACATAGAAATAGTTTGAGTGAAAGTGTTAGAGATACCTTAAGTAAAATGCCAGAGCCATTTCTGTACGATGCTGGGATGGTGGGACCTTCCTGAAACCACATTACTAACATGGTTCAAAACAAATGCTGTATTTTTTTTTAAATGCAGCTTAACTGGTCTGTCTTACAGTTTCACAACTTCTTCTCCTATCTTGGCTATTACCCTGCCAGCTTTTAAGCTAGGCAGGTACTGTCTCTAGCCTCTTAGGCAGAATTGTGCCTTTGTACCTAGATTACAAAGGCTCTAGGGGTGCTGGCCTTAGCTTGTCTTTCAGATTGCAGAAAATCTGCAGTGACAGGCAGCAGATAAGCTGTGCTGTGTTAGTTGAGACAATAGATTCAAGCAGTAGTTAAACAACCTGACAAAGTGTTGGCCAAGCAAATAAGCATGGACTTGTTGATTATGTTCTCCAAAATACCGTGCTGTGAAATATCCAAGCGTGTTCTTGCTACGTGTTGTTTGCCATGGCTGTGGTGTGCCTGGACGCATGAATCTCTAGGCAGTGCAGTTCAGAGAGTGTTTCAGCCCGCTAGTTTTATTGCTGCCTGTTTAACAGTGTGGCTGCTCTCCGTGTGTATGGATGATGTTTCTGAATATGGGGAAGAGGGATTAAAGCATCCAGTTTTGCTCTCTTCTCATGGAGTGCAGAGGAAAGCAATGTGTGGGACTACCAAAAGCTGATGATGTGTTACAGCAGTTCTTCCTTTCTCCAGTCTATTTCAGCACAGGATGAAAACCTCTCAAAGACGATGTTTTTGCCACTAGCGGAGAGAATGGTGGAAAAAATGGTAAAAGAGGATAAGATCGAAGCTGAGGCTGAAGTAAGAGTTGCGGATGTTTTTTCAGCTTGATTTCAGCATTTTTGAGACGAGGAGTGCAGTGTTAAAGGAAGTTAATTACTTTAAGTTTGCGAAGATAACAATCAGTAGTGTTCTGGAATTAAATGTGAATGTGGTGGTACAGAAGGAGAAGAAGCAGAGGGTGGGGAGGGATGTGAAAGAGTGGCCAAGGAAATTCTTTGGCATTTGATTCGACTTGATGAAGTACTTGTTTTTGCTCCCTGGGAGGCCCCGAGAGACATTTTAGGACTGATAATGGAAAAAAGACCTACATTCCTGAGTGCTCCACCCTTGGGATGCTAAAGATAACTGTGCAGTCCTTGCTGTCTTCTCCTTCTAATGACAGTAACACAAGTTGCTTTATTTCTTGGCATACCTGTACATTGTTTTACTAGCAAGTTTAATTGCAGTCTAATCTTTTTTCTAAGGTTGAACTTTATTACATGATTCTGGAACGTTTGGAGAAATATCAGGAAGCCTTAGATGTTGTGAGAGGAAAACTAGGAGGTAACTTATTCTGTCATCAATAATCACAGATGTGATGGAAAAATAGCTCTTTTGCTTCAGATTGTCCATTGGCTATGGGGGGGGGAGGGACACACCTATAAGCAAGCTTGCTTTTTAGCACCAGTTTCAAACATTGAAGCAAACTCTGGAGGTCCACTTGTACAGACTGATTTTACCCAAATGTTTACAATAGTTAAGAATCACGACAATTAATTTTACAAGAATATACATCTCCTATAGCCTTGATGTTTGTGGTCTGTTTCTTTCTGGTGATTAAAATGCTCTTGCAGTTTTAAGGAATTGGGATGTGAAGATTTGTGTAGGAAATTTGGCCTTTCCAGTCTTTGAGTCTTGTATTGTCTTACTGCTTTGCATTCTCGACTATAATAACTTGCTTTGATGCTTTATAATAACAGAAGGAAATGCATTGATTAAATAAATTTGCCCTTCTGTTTTTAATTTAGAGAAGTTGACAAGCGAGCTCCAAAGCCGTGAGAACAAGTGTATGGCAATGTACAAGAAGCTGTGTAGGTGGCCAGAGTGCAATGCGCTGTCAAGAAGGCTGCTGCTGAAAAAGTGAGACATTTCTGCAATCTTATTGAGGACTGAAGAAAAATCCCTGGCGGGTTGTGAATTGCCTTGCTCAGTAATTCTCGTAAATGGTGGTTAAAGCAGAAGAATATCAGAGGTTCTGAGAGTATTTTCAAATATTTACACTCCAGTGGTTGAGAAAGAAGCAACAAAATGGGATGAAGGATGTGCAGGGGGGGTCACAGGGAAGAGGCTTTATCAGAACTGTAGTTGCAAGATCTATTAAAGGAGAAATGACTCCTAGTACACTTGTAGTTTTTGTAGTATAAATCTTTGCTATTCCTTTAATTCAGTTTTTGCAGTTTTGGAAGTGAGTTACTGGTTTGGCAGTTCCCTAAACGTTGTTCTGTGTCTGCTTTTTGTTTCAGCTCAGATGATTGGCAGTTCTATATAACCTACTTTGATTCAGTATTTCAACTCATAGATGAATCCTGGACACCTCCTCTGGAAGAAGAACAGTAAGTCAACAGTTCTGCTGTGAGTTTTTCCTTTGAAAAAGAGAGATTTTCCCTTCAGTGCTGTCTCTGTCTTTGGTTGACTTCCTGACATCGGGCTCCAGATGATGGCTTCTCCCTACTTTGTTTTGGAGGCTGGCAAGTTTGTTGGAAACAGCTGTATAAATAGTGGTTTGTACTGCATAGAGCTCTTCCAGTTCATGTTTTTTATGTTATTAAATTAGAGAATCCCTCATGCCAGATTTCCTTAAGAGCGTTCTGGGAGTACTTTGAACACATGTTGTTAATGACCTCGGAATGGGGGAAAATAAAAATCTTGTCTCTTTAATTGTACAGCTCTTTGGAAGGAGAGGTGCACTATTCTATAGAGCAAGCTGTGAAATTTATAGAAGAGAGAATAACAGAAGAATCTAAGAGCACTCGGCCACTTCGAGGCCCATATTTAGCTAAACTGGAGCTGATCAGACGACTGCGTTGCAGAGGCTGTAATGATGAATATAAACTAGGTAAGAGCCATTAACTTTGGAGAGAGAACACAAAGCAACCTCTTTGTATCTAATTCAGCATGTATTTAATTCAGCAATGTGTTCTGACATTGTGTGTGCTGGTTTCAGTAACGTAAAGAATTTTGAAAGCATTAGGAGATGAACCTTGAAAAAAGGGAAGTTGTTCCAGACTGCTGCAGGGCTTGTGAAAGTAAGCAGGTTAAAGGATCTATTGAATTTGGGAGCATATGATCAGTGTTACTGTGATGAAAAGTGCATTCCTGATGCACTGCTTTTGTACAGAGTCCTTCAGGTTAGCTGTAATCTCTGGATGTTTTGTTGCTGTGTTTTGTGGGGGTTTTTTTGTTGTTTTTTTTTTTCCCAATGATACCAAGATTTGCTTTTTGACAACTTGCATTTAAAAACTGCAGTCAAGGAGTCAGTGAAGGAGAGAATGTGATTACAGCAATATCTGTGATTACCTGTTCCTAAATGAGTTAGATAAGCAGGGACTGTGTGTGCATGCTTATTATACTGAGCTCTGATCTGCCAAAGTAGCTTGATTGAAGCTCTTAAGGTGTGTCCTTGGTTACTAAAGACAGTGAGCATTGGTTAAAGTCAGCAGCAGTGCAGCAAATAGGGCTGCAAATCTCTGCATAATCCCAAATTAAAAATGAATTATCAAATGTTTCTCAAAATGATCTTATAGTTTCAGCTTTTGAAGCATATGAAAAAGATGAACTGGCCCTTTTTCCTAGGTGATCCAGAAGAACTAATGTTCCAGTACTTCAAAAAATTTGGGGACAAACCCTGTTGTTTCACTGATCTCAAAGTATTTGTGGATCTCCTCCCATGCAGCCAATACACAAAGGTGAGGAAAGTCTGAGATGCTGGCATGAACGAGAGTGTGCTCGTTTGCACTCTTGTACAGCTCTGTTGAGGTACCTCTGTGTCCTGTTAAGAGATGGAAAAAGCTGAAGCTTGATCTGTTTAGAATAGCGGATAGGGGAGATGTGTTTGCTGTGTACTGCAGCTTTTGTTACACAAAACATCTTTCTCTTTTCCTACCTTATCTATCCCTTATTTTTCCTCGTTAAATTTACATGTTTGGTTGGAAAGATGGATCCAGGTAGGTCGTTGCATGTTATACTGTGCTGCAACGTTGCAGAACGGACATGTTGGTACTGATCAGGCGGTGACTAACAGAACTGTGGCACCTTTTCCAGAATTGTTTTGAAACGAGCTCTTTTCAATTTAAAAGTCTGTTTGTGCAGAGTCATGAGCAGCTTGTTGAATGACTTCAGCAGCTGGGAATCCCGTCGCTCATCTCATTGTTTCTCAAAGCCATTGTGTACAATTCAGTGCTGGGTCAGCCAAATGGAGAATCCTGGATCAGCCAGAGGCCTTTCATTAAAATATTTGTTAACAAAGTATCGTTGTTTTCTTAGTTTATTAAAATATTTTCTTGACTTGTAAACTTTATTAATGTAAGCCTACAGCCTTACTAATGAGCAGAATGGTGGCCTGGGTGTGTGTCGGTTGCTGCTGATATATATTAAGTGAAAAGTGTGTTCTTACCCACTGGCAGCAGCTGTGATCAGTAACACGTTTAATTCATGATCTGGGGAGCGGTGATCCCATTGCAAGGTAACTCTGGAATCACTGAACAGATTTAATCTCAATTTTCAGGGACAAAAACGAAAAAAATCATAGCGATGTTTCTTGGCCACTGAAAACATGTAGATACTCCAGCAGTAATTGTTATCTTCACCTCAGTCTTGAATTTCTAAAGGCAGGAATTGAAATATATGCAGTATAGCAATTTGGTTGCTCTTGCACAAGTCAGTAAAATCTCAAACTGCAAATATTTGTCAGATCTTCATCAAAATCCCCAGGAAAACTAGAATTCTTGTGCATGGTGCTGTGTTCCTCTTACCTGCCTGTTATTCCTGGCATGGATTTGTTTTGTGTTTTTCCCTTGCATTTGTAGTTATTTTATTTAAAGATCAAATGTAGTAAAGCTGAATTCATTAAATTAAACCCATTTTTAAGTTTGTAAACACTGTTGAATTTTAAGGCAGCAACAAAAAAAACTGTCCAATCCTGATTGTATTGTGAGAAATCTGCTGTCTTCCATTAAATAAAACTGTAAACAGTGAGACACTCTTCTTACAAGTTAAAAGAAATTAAGAGATGGTGATGTCATTAGGTACACTGCAGCGCTTTGGATTTGAAAGAAAATGTAATAATTAGCACAAAACCACAATTTCTCATTAAGTATGCTGTAGACTTTCGGTAACAGATTATTTGAATTGCATCTGTTATTACTTTGGGTGTTACCAAGTGCTTGAAATCCCTTGTATGTCGATGTATTGGAAGCTTCCTGTGTTTTATTTTTTTGTCTGTTTGATGAACTAAGCTAAGCTATTAAGCAAAGCCATAACTTGTGCTCACCAAGATTAAAAATTAAAAAACAGGCTCTCTAGCTACTGATTTCTGTGCGACGTTGTGGTTTACGCTGACACTTCCACCTCATTTGCTTTTCTTGATTTGAGAGAGGAAATGATGTCTTCTGTTTGTGTAATCCCAGCTGCCCTGCAAAATTTGACAACTGTTTCTCTTCCAGTTCATCAGTCAATTGCTGGAAGTAATCCCTCTATCATCAACAACAGAGAGTGAAATCGCACTGCCAGCCGATATCAAAGCTCTTCAACAACACTTGTGTGTGGTGCAGCTCTCCAGATTGCTTGGTATCTATCATGCCATGGATAAGAAGCAAAAGCTGACTGTGGTCCGGGAGTTAATGTTAAGATACCACCATGGACTGGAGTTTGGTGAGGACAAACTTTGAAACCAGTGTTGTAGCTTTTTTTGAGCTTTAGAGTTTTTTTCCAGGGGAGTGTGACAGCACAAACTGATGGCCTGTATCACTACTGATGTGTAACATCCATTGTGCGGCTAGATAACACTGTGTTTTCTTCTTTGTTATTACATCCTTGGGCACCTGAATTGTTTCCTTTTTTTTTCTTTTCAATTTGTATCTTTGAAGTAGGTGAGACATTCCTGAGTAGCTCAGCTGGTACATTTTTATGCTTGCCTGTTCCTGTGAGCAAGGCAGGCTTTATGAATGGTGTGTATAGGACAGAAACATAGGCGTTATTACCAGTGTTTAAATCTTACGAAGTTCTTTCTTCTAGCAGATGTTAACATATGAAGTGGCCGGACTTTTTTTTTTTTTTTCCAAAATCATGAATGGGAGTTCATTGAATTCACAGAAAGAAAAAAAAAAACACACCTGAATTTGTGTGAAAACTATTGATTTGTTTTCAGTGCTTCTATCTGGAGTTTGAATCCAAGAACAGAAGAGCCAAGGAAGCATAATATTAGACAAAATAAAATGTGTTGCTTTAGCAATTCAAGCACAATGAATTGAGGGGAAAAAACTGTAAATATAAAGCATGAGTTGTTTTAGTTTTAAAGAAAACTTGTGAGATTTATAAATTGAGCAGTGGTTATCATCTGCCAGGTGTCTGTGCCACTTGATAGTGCTGGCAATGTGAGAAACAGCTGACAGCGTAGTAGTTCTTTAACTCTGCAATTCAGGGTAATTTTGTCTTTCTTTTTAGGGAAAACTTGTTTGAAAACTGAATTGCAGTTTTCAGATTATTACTGCCTCCTTGCAGTTCACCTGTTGCTTGACCTGTGGCTAGAGGAAGGTATGTCTCTATATTTGCTTAATAGCACCTGGGATGGTTGTGGGTAGGCAGACTGTGTCTGTGTGGCCACTGTGCATTGGCATTGCTTGTTAGTCCCATAGCTTTCAGTTTCTTCTTGCTGTGTGGTATTTCTGGAGCCTCTCAATCTTGTTAACCTCCAAAGGGATTTAATTTTTTTATATGATTTGTGTAAGTCCTGCTGGAGTCCTGCTGATTCATGCAGCTCAGTGTTGTCCATCCCTAGAAGCTTGTTCCAAGTTCACCATGTAGATATTTTTCTCTCCCTTTGCACAAGTAATGCTGACAACTCCCTTCTGATACCAGAGGTGTTTTGAAAAATATTTCTTTTTCCCCTTGATGTACTTTGTCTCCTGGATTCCTAGCTTCTAGATTTCTGTTGAGACTCATTGCTCTGGTTTTAGTGATTCTGTACTTCTCATCTGCTCTGCTTTATTAGTCTCATAATCTCAGAAATGTCTCTCTGGTAAGTGAGTATTGTGCTCTGTGCAGATGTGAGCTGGATATTCCCTGTAAAGAATTGTTCTTCCACCAGCTGTAGTGCTGGTGTGGGAACGTGCTGAGCGAAGTGCAAAAGGAGGAAGGGAGATTTGATGTGAATAGTGCTGTGCCCCTCCCTGTTCACACCTGTGTTTTTATCTTTGTCACCAGGTGAAGAGATGGCTGTGTGGCAGTGCCTAACCCTTTTAGAAGAAGGATTATCTCATAGTCCTTCTAATGCTCAGTTTAAATTGCTGCTCATTCGAATCTACTGCAGGCTTGGTGCATTTGAACCAGTTGCAGAGCTGTACTCCAGCCTTGATGCAAAACACATACAGCACGACACCATCGGGTGGGTAGTATATACTGAGAATAATTGGTTGTGGTTTGAGATCTTCAGTTGTTGTTCCTATGAATGATGGCAGATTTGTCAGATTTTCACTGTGTTCTGTAAAAGCGTTCTGGAAATATGTAAAATGTATCTACTGCAGTGTGCTTCTAGAAGAGTATCTTTCCTGTGTGATTTTAATCATTGTTGGACCTAAGGAATATTAATTAAACATGAATATGAAATCTGTGAAATATTTATCTTGGTGCCAGTTGTAGCTAGGTGTTCCAGCCTGGGTCATTGCTGAGCAAAGTTTGGGAACAGCGGTTAAAGCAAACACAACCAAGTGGCCTTGCCTCAATTAGTGTGTTTGTGAGTGTCAAAATAAAGTTCCTCCATCCGCCTCATTAAATGAGCGAGAACTCTGAGCTTCCACATGCAGTGAAGAATTCCTTCCTTTACTGTTTAAAACTTAATATGAATGTTGAGAGTAACCCTGTTAAATCTCTAGACTTTTCAATAAAGCTGAATTGGGCTGTAGCTCTCTATTCAGAGCTGCATTTGAAATTCAGAATTCCCCCAGCACGTGTGCTGATGTTTGACTTGTGCTGTGTTGTGTTGCAGTTATCTTCTGACACGCTATGCAGAGTCACTGGGCCATTACGCTGCTGCATCCCAATCCTGCAATTTTGCACTCAGGTTTTTCCACTCCAACCAGAAAGATGTAAGTTGAAAGAAACCTCTGCATCCTTGTAGCAGGGCAGTTATGTTGATAATGCCTTACTGAATTCTGTGCCATACGTAAGAACTTACAGAACTGTAGTAGGTAGTCACACAGGGAAATAATACATGCAGCTCTATGTTCATAGTGAAGGTTGTCTCAGCCTGCATTTCTCACTACAAAGGTTTTTAACTTGTTAGATGGAGTTTTGCTGTAGCTTTTTATTTATTATTATACCAGCCAATTTGAATATTCAAAAAGTTGCTGTGATTATTTATAAATGAATTAATCGTGATTTATGAGAATAAGTGTGACATAATGTAGCAAGTAAGTCCTGGTGTCATCTGACTTTTGGCACTTTGAAAAGTCACACAGCAGCCAGGGATGGTGGGCCCAGGTATTGATGACATTTGTACAAGTTCAATATTGCGCTCACCTGAGGCATTGTGGTTTAGTGATGACGTGTGGTGGAGAATGCTCATCAGAAGATGGAAGTGCAAAGAACAATGTGGGAGAATTTCAGAAGGGAAAAGTTAACTCTTGAAGTCATGACTAACTGCGTTGTTTTCAGGTGATAGGAACAAACTGCTAAGTCTGGTCTTGTGCTAATGGGAGCTACCTGCTTTATTCAGTTCACTGCTGTGAAATGGTGTGAATTAAAAGAAAGTTATCTTGAATGAGAACCTTGAGAATGGAATGGAGAGAGAAGAGTAGTTAAATTCTTCCAAGAGATGGGGACCTTTCTAAATGTGTGCTGTGACCTAGGCATCTTGCAGCTTGCGGATTAGTAACAGTACTTGTCTAAATTAGTCCTGATTGAAAAGTGGGTTGAGTGGGAGAATGGTAAACAACTCTCTTGTAATCTTGGTAGAAATGCATTGGGCAAATTGGCGGGGGTGTGGAGGGGTGGGAATAGTCCAGAACAGTAGTAGGAAACTATATGCATAATACTAGTCCATCTCCCTAAGGTTTGTGAGAGTGTCCCATTCTGAGGAGCTGGGAGTATGGTCTCTCTTTTTATATTTTACACTTTGTTCATTGCTAAGAGGTGAGGGAAGAAAATTATTTTCACTTGACAGTTAAGAAAGAAAGGTGCAATCCAGTTTTAATCCTTCCAGTTACTGGCTAAACTGGCTGCAGGGGCTCTGCAGATATACAGTTTTTCCACCACCTCAGCAGTAGGTAAAAACACAAGAATTATCTGTACTGAGTAGTAAAGATTCTGAAGGTGCTCAGACAGTAATTTGTCAGATGAATATCCTTGTGCTGTTGGCAGCAGATTATTCCTGTGTGCAAGGTACCAGTTGCCATTCACCTGTGTCTAGAAGGTAGATGCTGAGTTACTGTGACCCGTGCCTGACGTGGATGTTTCTCTGTAGGGAGTGGGATGCAGAGATGTATGTGGGTCATGTGGTGGAAGCTCGCTCTCTTTTGCTTCCCTCACTTGCTTATTGTTTAAGCACTGATACTACTTGCTAAGAATCTTTGCACTGAGTACACTGAGTACAATGTTTTGTGCTAGAGTGAAGCTCTGGATCCAAACAGCTTTCTCCAACGTGTCTGTTGTTGGCAGTGGCAGTTTGTTGTGGGTTTTTTTGAGTAACTTGTTCAGTCTTTAACACGTACTGAATGACTTCAGTGAAGAGCATACCTGGAACCAATGCCTGGAACCAACTCTTTAAACAAAATGTTCCACTGCAATGTGCCAGGTGGGAAAAAAAAAAGTGAACTGAAAGAAACTACTGGATGTGATTTATCTGCTTGGGAACACTGTATTGTAAAGCAGCAAGAAACCATCTTTCCCTGGAAAACATTGTGACTGAAGTAGGAAGATGGTCATTCTCTTTGTCAAGAATGATAAAGGTGCTTGCAGAGCACAAGGTAACTGTCTCCAGCAACTCAGTGTATGCACACTAGTTAAAGGCCCACTGAATCATGTTCCAAGTGCTGTTGCCAGGAAAATGCTACTCAGCTCATCGTCGAGAAATGCTGGAAAAATGGTGCCTGAATTGTTCAACTTGCCTCACTGCTACACCTTAAAGGCTGAAATTGCCACAGAGGGGTAAAAACAATGCAATCAGTATTACGTGCTTCACTCTACAAGACAAAGATGTGTCTTGGGATCCTGCTCATGTCATGTCTCTTGGAGTACTGCAGCCAAAGAACTGAGCCATTGTTGTTCTTGAGTTGAGCCAAATCTCATGGGTTCTGGATGTTCCAGTGGTTATTGTCTTCAGATTGTAAGAAACCCATCACAAGCCACATTAGCCTGCAAAAAACCCATAATGTGCAGACTGAAGCAGGAGAAGGCTCAATTCAGCATGCTGTTCATCTAAGGATGTGCCAAGAACAGAGTGGGAGGAAAAAGGATGGTCCTTTATTATACAATGTCTCCGATATCACAAGGTCAGAATATGCCACTAGTTTGTGTGCTGCAGTGGTTCTGCTGGGGTTTCCCTTTCATGATCAGAATCCTGGAATGAGCTTTCCTTTCAGGTCCCATTACAGTACCTAACTGCAGTGGTAAATGAGGACTAACCTATCAAGGTTACCTTTTCTTACTTTATTTCAGCAACTGCCTGCTTCTCTGTAGATTGTTTTAGCTGAATATTTGCTACAATGTAAGGAACGTGTCCTGCAAGTGCTCTCTGCTGTGCGTGGGACTCTGCCTACAGCAGGAAGTGTGGAGTATGAAAAAGTGTTCTGGTATTAAAAACAAACAAAAAAACATGCTTAGCTACTACTTCAAGTGACCACTTTGGATGTTGTCCTCCGGACTTGCTGAATTTAACAATCTAAAGTGAATCCTCTTAAGAGTGGGTTTCATAAGTAACAGCCCTCCAGGATACTGTGCAGTCCTGATATAATACTTCTGCTCTGGGAGAGGATGCCAATAACAGGGAGAAGATGAAAGGCAGTATTGCTGTATTTGACTGATACTAAAAGGGCAACTTCATTCTTCGCAAGATAGCCCTCCTTTAAAAATGCAGAATCACAAGTAATCTCTCTAATTTTCTTGTGTCCGTCCGTCTTTAATTTCTCCAGATCCGCAGGCAAACAGAACACCAACGTGTCTTATGGGGATTTTAAAACTACGTCGATGCAGTTGAATTAGCACCCATAGTGCAGCCCCGTAGCCTGACAATGACCTCTGCAAAGCTGTGTATCAGAGGGTATGTTGCTGAATATTTGGCATATTTTTTCATACAGTATGAATAACCAAATTGCATAGGAAAAAGGTAGAGCTACCTAGAAGGCGTTTCTTATTTTGGAGGGAGGAAAGAAAATAAAATGGGGGCTTTTAACTGAGAGTGATAGCTCCTCTTCTCTCAAATCCTTCCAGGCAGGTTGTCTTGGTCAGTACAGTACAGATGTACAGGTTTCGGTTGCCCTGGGGACTTTCTGGTGCCTCTGATCTTCAGTGCATTTCATAATCATGCAATGAAGAAAATACTTGATCTGCCAGAATTTCTCCATTGCGGAGAAGCTGATTTAAGAATACAGCCGTCTGTATTGACAGGGATCATAAGTCGTTCACTCTGTCATTCCAGTTACTGTATATTTCAGTGAAAAATTCTGCTTGTTTGGGACTTCTTCATCACAGAAATCTTCTGGAAATTACTTGGACAGCTGAGAGATGTTAGTTATGTGGCTTGTATTGCTGCGCTTCATCAGAGGGGAAGCAAACTATCCTATGGACACTGGCAGCTTTCTTTGGTGGTTAGATTGTACTGTAACACGTGTGCATGATATTACCTTGTGATACTGTATTTTAAAAAAAAAAAAAAAACTAATAAAGAGAAAGAAAAAATTGTGTGAGTAATTTTCTTTATCTATGTTGTGATAGGTGATGTACATCCAAGTCAGTTCCAGAAAATCTGGGATGTGTCTGTTTTGCCTGAAAGTACTTTTCATAATGAGATAACAAACTGAATAATCCATCTGAAAAACAACAATAAAATATGAACTTCCAAAATCATCTCTCCCAACCTATAAGTATTTTTCAGTCTGTGTTGACAGCAACCTGATTTTGTTCAGTGTCAGTTTGGTTACTTAACAGCACTGCCAGGTAGATCCTCTAAGCATTATTAAATTTGAGGAACAAAACTACTTGGATGACTTAGATAAGCAAAACTGCAAGATTCTCCCACAGTTTGAGCATTTGCCAGATTCTGTACATCTGGGTTAGTGAAAGCCACAGAAAAGCACAGCAAATTTCTTGGTATTGACCATGTTAAACTCTTGATTATTCTGAATTTATGGAAGTAACTAATACAAAGCTGGTGTGTGCTTTCTTGTAGACCTCAGAATACATCATTCAAGCCTACAAATACGGTGCATTTGAGAAGATTCCAGAATTCATTGCATTTAGAAATAGGCTGAACTCTTCCCTTCACTTTGCACAAGTTCGCACAGAACGGATGTTGTTAGACCTTTTACTTGAAGCAAATATGTAAGTACAGCAGCAGCGAATGCAATACTGACGTGTGACAAAAATTAAGATTTATGCATATGTAGAATATTGACCAAGCAGCACTTTGACAAAAACCTGAAAGCTGTTCTTGGTTGCCCTTTCCTTCAGCATCCTTCTTTGTACTTAGTGCAACACTGGTGACATGTGAGGAATTGAACAGTGGAGAGAATGCAGTTTAAGTGTTTGTTTCCAGTGATCACGTTTGATCTAATAGTATTTAATCTTATGTACAGATCTTCTAGTTTAGAAGAAAGCATAAAGTCCATGAGTCTGAGCCCAGAAGAGGATGACATTCCATGGAAAGATTTGCGTGACAACAGAGACCTGACAGTCTTGTTTAACTGGGATCCAAAAGACAGGTGAGTAGAAATGTCCTTAACTGTAGTTCTGTACTTTTTCCTACAGCACATGGTGAAGAAAATCTTTTCAGGGTAAACAGAATGTTCTCTAGACTGGCTAACTGCAAATTTAACATCCATTCATCACTTCTAGCAGTGCTGCCTTTTTACATATTAATGGTTTTCTGAATTTCTGACCATTCCTTCCTCCTAATACATTATTTGATAACTTCAGGTAGGCTTTTGTACCTGAGTGAAGCTTGCAACTTTGCAAAACTTAAGCATTTTCCTGAAAACATTTGGTGCCTTTCTCTAGGGACATTTCTGAAGAACATAGGAAACTCTCACTGGAGGAAGAAACCCTGTGGTTGCGAATCCGGTCTTTAACTTTAAGGCTAGTAAGCGGACTCCCAACTCTTAGTCACAGTATTCAACCAAAGAACTCTGAAAAGACTGCAGAGAATGGCGTCTCATCCAAGATTGATACAATTCGATCTCTGCTTCAGCAGCTGGAAGCGGCAGTGGATTCAGGGAAGAAGTTTCTAGAACAAAAAATTCAGGTACCCTTTAAGGAAAAAGCTATCCTCAAATATTAAATGAACGTGAATGCAAGCAGAAAAACTGAATGCATCTTGTAACGTCCAGCAGGCTGCAGAATGCACTTAACTGACCCTGAGTTTGTAGTGTATGAATCTGACTGAGAGATGTGCCAGAGACAAACACTGTGTTCTGGATAAGGAAAAGCTGCAACACCTTTATCTTTTTCTTTGCTTCTTGCCTAGTATCCTGTCCTTGGCCCTCCTCCTACCCGAATGGCTGGCTTCTTCAGTAATGGCAGCTGTCAATGCCAGACTAGCTTGTTTTATCTTGTTAGTGATATTTATGAACTAGATACCAATGGCTTAGGTAAGTGCTTGAGGGGGAGGGGCTTAACCAGATGGTTATGAGGTGGGAGGGAATGCGGTATGTTTCCACTTTGAAAACTGCTAGACATCGGGCGATGTGGACCAAACTATGACTTGTTTTATTTTTTTGAATGACACTGTTACCTGGGAGACAGCTTTATCCCTGTCTTCATTTTTGTGGTGTGTGTTGATGTAATACAGCATCCTCTCTGAAAGCAGTTGCATTAGCTTTCCACTGCTAGCACTGAATTACATTGAAATGCCTGCCAGTTTTGTAAGAGCAGGAGATACAGAACCTATAGTTCATAGCTGCCTTTTTTCTTTCTTTCAGAAGATTCAGCAGAAGTCCAGGAGAGGATAGGGAATAGTTTCAAGTCTTTAATAGAACGGCTAACAGGTAAGTAGTAACCCAAGAGAAAACTCTAGTCATTAAGTGCTTTGTGTTATAAGCTCCCAAGTGTGCTGCACATTGGAGAAGTGCATTAATGGATCTGCAGACCCTTTTGAAAGATGCTTGAGAGCAAGGCTGAGAGTGCCCTTACCTTGTCTGTTTACAAAGTCGCTGCATCCACATAATGCACTATCATTTCATTACCTTGCAGCCTTATCTTAGCAGCTGTTGTTTCCTGATACTTGGTCCTAGTGTTGTGTGGAGATACCATCTGTAATGAGATACAAGGTAGAGGGGAACTTTGGAGCTGGAGTGTCGTGAGTGTCTTTAGCTAAATCTATCAATCACAGCCTAGTCTGCAAAGCAGTCAGAGCTACACCAAGATACGTGCTGGGCAGAAAATGAGCGTTTGGGTTGGTTGATCTGCATGTCCGGAATAAGGCTTTCCTTTTTTTCTTTTCAGATTTGTTCAATAAATGTAAAGGTGACTTGATTGAAGTCAAAGATGGCACCTTGAAAACTCAGCCAAACCTGCTAGAAAACTTAGTCTTCTTTGTTGAGGTATTTTTTAATTTTTTTTTTCTTCTGGAAAAGGAAAAGTTGTGGAACACTGTAGAGTGGAAATGTTGAGGCTAAAAAGCAGTGAGTTGCATGTTTAATCAGTCATGAAAACAGCTCTTGCGAATTCTGAGTCTTTCCAGTGTACACTAAAATGAGTTTAGAAACCTCCTGTAAATGCAGCTTGTAACATACCTGTGCCTTTCTTTTCAGACCATCTCCATCACTCAGTGGGTATCAAGTTACTGTGATGGTGTCCTTCGACCTTTTAAATCCAACCTGCAAAAAAAGAAGAAGAAAAAAAAAGAAACCAATGTAGCCATGGTAGATAATACACCTTTTTCTCCTCCACTTCCATCCCTCAATCCAGCTATTTGTATGGAAAGAAAAATCAGGATTGATGGCATGCTAACAAACTATTTTGCATGAACTCTGCCTTGTAGAATTAGTGTTGTTAGAGCTTACTTTACAACCTCTTTTTTTTTTTTTTTTTTAACTCCTTTTCTGCTTTCTGCCACATCTCTGATATCATGTGACAACTTTATAACAGGAAATACAGTTAGACTATCACAGATCTCCTGCTGTGAATGCATTGCAGTACACTAGTTAACTGGTAGTGTTTATCTGGATAGATAGATTTAAGCTTAAGTATTGGGGTATGTGGGTGTGGAATAGAATAAGCATTATGAATTGAGTTGTCATATAAAATTGTCACTAAGAGACATTAGTATGTGTTTATAAATTAAAAGCATGTCTTTATTTTTTTTTTTTTTTTTAGCCACCTGTATTTACACACTTTCTGGATTATGTTACTGAGCTACAGACGTTAACTTCCAATGTAATAGATCACATCAAAGGGCTTGAAATAACTCTGACTGCACTAAAACTTGAAGAGCTGTCCTTCAAGGACACTCTGCTTTTACAGGTAAGAACTTCCATTTTTATGTGACTGATCAGTGTGCTTGTGTGTGACAGATAACCTGTTAAGGGTGACTTAATTGCTATTAACCAAATATTAGAGACCACACTGAGTTTTGGGATGGTGAGTTGGGGTATTTTTGTAGTTTTTCACCTGGTGCAGTGACTTTGCCTTGTCTTATGAGCTGTCACTTAGGATAAAAAGAGATTTCTGATGCATTTGTCTTGAAGTAGGGAATCTGACCCACAGGGCACTGGCATACATGTTTGTCTGGGAAGATCCTAAGGCTTTTTTAACTGGGGAGGGCTTAAATGCTGCATTCGCCTGTTTCAGAACTGTATCCACCTATCTGTTGTTAGCCAGCTTGTATTTTTTCAGTTAGCCTGTCCTCTATTTCATAGCACACTACTTCAAATTTCCCTTCTCTTGTTGTTGTATGAAGCTGATGTAGAAGTATCTTTTTAAAAACAGAACAAACCACAAAACCACTAAAAACTAACAAAGGAAGGAAATCTTAGATTTTAACGTATGAGATTGCGAGTAAAAGTTAAAGTACATTTTCCTAATACGAAAGAAGCTTCGACATCAGATATTTTCAGATAGTTGTTGATGTTTGTGACTGTTCTGGTTCTTTGAGTCGGGAGATTCCTCCATATTCCCATCCTTATGAAAGACATCAAACAGCTGCGCAAGGTAGACCTGCCAAAACTGCGTCAGATCCACATGGATTTGAGCAGAAGCACCTCTGGGAATCTTTGACTTTTTCTGTGTTTAGTTGTGATGTTTGTGATTCTATCTGTTGTTTGATATGGCTGCAGTAAATCCAGCAATAGGCCATCTGCACAGCTCTGCTCAGAGCTACAGCTGTGTTTGCAGCCTTGTGCATTCAGAACTAAAAAGTGCTTTTGAAAGAAGTTCTCGTGTTCACGTGTTGGTGAAAATTCTGATGTGATTCAGGAATGGGGTATTGCTGCTGCTATTTGCCAGCCAAAGCTTACTGCTGAGGTGAGGTGGTGGGGGAAGTTTCATGGGAGAACTTGAACAACTGCTACTGGTTTCTCTTTTGCATTTTGCAGGAAGAAAAAAAGTTTACGAAGTCTGTGCAAGGGAAGGTCCAGAGCAGTTACCAACACTCGGTTCAGGAAATTGGAGAACTGCTGAAAAAGAGACTTGATACTATTAAAAAACTAAAGATTTGAGAAATCACTGACAGACTCCACAGGAGAGTGATATCAGAGTCCCAGACAGGAGCAACATCCAATATACCATCACTTCAATCCAGAACTTCCTCATAATGCATGAAGGACTTAAAATCATAAAACGATTTTTTTAGGTATTACAGATGTATTCAGCTGACTTAAATTATTGTACATAAACGAGAAGCAGGGACCCTTATCGGGGTTTGACCACTTTTTATACATGTTCATAAGCGTATTACAACAGGAGAAAATTGAATAACTTTCTTCCCTTCTGATCTCTAGAAACAACTGGAGATGGTTGTTAGCAGCAATAGAAATCCAGTGTAAAGCATAGATCTCAAAGGAGTTGTATTTTCATCACCATACGGTGTTTGTAATTTTTGTATGGTCCTTGCCTTGGAATGCAGAAGCTGTAGATGCCCGCATTCAGCCACCTCCAATGAAATGAGCCAGTTCTGGAGCTGCCTATGTTGTCCACAAGCCACCTGGTCCTACTGAGTTCAGTGTGTTGGCCCAGCAGGGAGGCGGGAGGCTGTGCTTGCAGAACACTCTCTGTGCAGCTTTCCAGCAGAGCCTAGTGGTGAGGGAGGTTCCTCTAAGGGCTGAACGTGGAGAGAGCTGCTGGAGGAAGGAGGTAGTATGAGCATACACACAGGTTGCTTTCATGTTCAGAGAAACTTCAAGCCTGATGAGGAGCACACTTGGCCATTAAGCTTTAGAGAGATGGGAGTCAGCGTTTTGGCAAAAGACAGAAGTAGAGACCGTGTATATAATAGCTGCAGTGATGTCTGACACTGCGTTCTAATTTCATGACAGTTTAATGTAAAACAGCAATCATCATGACTTCTAAAGAAGTGTATTTAGATTACTGAGACTTTAAGACTTAAATATTTTCATAGAAATTAAATCCTATTGGCTTTGGTTTTAAGTTGGCAGAGGTAACTTTTGCTTCCGCTGTAGTATGAGGCTGAGAATACTTTTTATAACTGTGTGCTTGCTTTTTGCTGTTGATCTTTGATTATTCAAGTACTAGAGCTCATTAGGCATTCTCGTAGTGCAATCACATCATCTGCTCCCACTGAATCTGCATTTCTGCTGTTGTTTTTGTTTTCATTTTAAATGAGTAATGCAGCCTAAAACTTGTAGGCAAAAAAAGTATGTGTTGCACCTACAATCCAAGGGACAGGTCAGACTTTTACAGAGTCGTTCTGATTTAAAGCAGCTAGTATCTGAAGTCTATATTTAAAGTTTTAAGAGAGCTGACAATCCTTTGTCATCTCTTCTAATATGTTTTGTTAGAAATGCTAGAATGTTGATGAGAGTATTTTTTTAAAATAAATGCCCTGTGTAAAAATTCCACATTGCTGCTCTTGCTGGATTTAGTTTTGCTTTGCCCCATCCTGCAAGGGAAAGAAGGCTGTCTGCAGGTTGTCTAAATGTGGAGATCCTAATGGTTTAACTGTGATGTCTGGTAAGTGCTCTGGGCTGGAGGAATACCAAAATGTGTTAAGTCTGCTTTATAGTAATACGTTTTCTGAGCAAATTGAACTGTCTTACACGTTGTATAGAAATACCATTTTGGAAAGAAGGGTGTGTTCCTTAAATTAAAGCAAGACTGGTAACTGATGTTGATGCTTTGAAACATGTAGGGTATTGCAGAGATTATGCAATTAATGGAGAAGCACTGAGCCAGAAATCTGCACTGCTCATTTTAATTAAAGGAGGAATATCAGCAATGGCTGAGACTTGTCTGCCCCATCCCTTTCCCACAGCAGTGCAAACGTAGATAGGGCTTCATGCAACACCGGTGTTGAATGCGGAGTTGACATGGCATCTTCATCCAGAGGGCGCAGGCCAAGGGCGGGCTTGTGCTGGCGTTTCCTTGCACTGTTGCTGCAACAAGTTGAACTCAACCAGTCATTTCAATAAACAACACTGACATTGTAAGTGATGTTAATAAAATCAAGCTTTTTATAATCCCGTGTGCCAGAAAGCAGAACTTGCTTTAAAAAAAGTTTTCTGCATCCGTTCCCTTAAAAGCAGAATTGAAACTGCTGGGGGAGACGTGTGTCATATGAAGACGTTTGAGAGGAGTTAGAATCATGGCACGCTTCCTGTCAGCACTTGGCATGGCTCAGGTCTGCTGGTGGCTGGTCTCAAACCATCTGCAAGTCAGGGGAAGGCTGGCTGTGTTTCAGAGCTGCCTGCTGTCCTGTTTCCAGGTCTGGCCGCTGGTGAATAATGATAAACTTGTGGAATACAATTTTTTGAGTAGTCAGTGTTTTATAAACCAGATGCCATCTCTTCACAAACTAAATCCTCTCTGGGAGGAGATGGTGGGGTACAAAAATGATTGTACTGATTGTCTGGGGACTTAGTTGAGGGAAAAATTCTTACAAATTGTGTACAGTTAAATATATATTTCTTACAAAAGAGTGTTTCCCCTCCAGCATATGTCCCACTGGCACTTGGTAAGAAGTTCAAGCTATAACCCATTGCTGCTGTTCACCCATTTCCACTAGGGTGGGTTTTTGTTTTTGGTAATGATTTGAAAAGAATACTTGGGGAAAAAAAACCCTACCAAGTCTACTGTTTACAGACTGACAAAATACTGCTTTTGTACTACTGGGATCATGAGCCACGATCCTTTTACCGATTTCCTCAATTCTTCTCTTTGCTTTAAATTGGTGTCTGATGTAGATAAAGGTCAGAAGTCTCTTACCCTGCTTTGTCTACATCCAGAAGAAAATGTACAATGCCTGTTTGTGTTCCCCATCATTTTGTACCTTTTTTTTGTACTTTTTACCACTTCTAACTGTTCAAGAGTTGCATTTATATGTTGCGATCATTGATAATCATGACTTTATTTTAACCGTTAGTAACTTAAATGGGATTTCTTCTTGTCTCTGCAGCCTTATCTGAACTTTCTCTTCCTTGATATTCATTGTAATTTATGACTGTAGAAGATATGTATGCCTCAGCCTTCTACAGACATAAGTGACAGAACTGCGAAAGATCTGCTTTAAACTGGATGGGTTTATAATTTATATAAAAGTCAGTTTCGTTACAAATCAGTTTTACTGCCTCCTTCATTTTTCTGTCTGAATGGTCGTGAGGTTAACAGGTGCTCCTCATTTAACTTTAGTCGACCCGGGTATCCTGGTATATGGCAATGAAAAAACAACTACAGCGAGGGAAGATAAAGTGCATGGAGCATGCTCATTGTTTAGCCCGTGTGGATGGGGATTCAGAATTATGCTTGTGTATGGAGGGGGTTTGGTTACGTCTGTTAATGTTATTCTCGCTCCCTTTGCTACTGAGGTTTTGTGCGTTGCTCGCCCGCACTTCACCCGGGTTGTCAGAGTAAGGAAAGCGCACAGATACCAACATGAAAATCTCCACGTGCTCCCGGAACGCCCTACCCGCGTTCTCTGAGACCACCAGCTGCTCCCAAAGCCACTCGGCCCGCTGTACGCCCGGGGCCGCACCTGAGCCCCGCGCAGGGGGCGGGAGGGGGGCGGGCCGAGCCCCGGTGGCGGCGGCCGGCGCTCACGTGACCCACAGCCTCACTCCCTCCGCGCTCCGCCATGGCTGCGGCGGCCGCTGTCGCTTCGGTGCTCCTCTGCTTGTTCGGCCTGGCGCTGCCCGGCAGCGCGCTGCACACCAAGGGCTCCGTGCCTCTCGACACCATCACCTTCTACAAGGTACCGCCCACTCGGAGCGCGCTGCCGGGCTCAGCGGGGCGCTCGGGAAGGGGGGTGCGGCCGCGTCGGGAGCGCTGCGCCGCCGCCACGTGCGGTACCACGACTGTCCGCACCGCGCAGAGCAGGCCCCGAGAGCCGGGGGTCTGCGCGGCGGGCACGGGGCTGCGCCGCGAGGAGAGCGCTGGGCTCGCGGAATGGCCGAGGCGCCGGACCGGCCGCGGCGCAGCCAATAGCAGAGCGGCAGCCGCAGCGCGCAGCCAATCGGCGCGGTCCAAGTGGAGCCGTGCCGCGGGGGCCTGCCCGGCCTTGGGCACCGCTGCACGAAGCCGGGCCCCGCCGTGGGCGCGCCTGTTGGAAAGCCTCGTAGTGCAGCGAGGGGACTGAAGGGACAGCAGTCAGGAAAGCGTTGCTCTACACAAGCTGAAAATTGTTCTTGCCACGGGGCGGCCCTCTGCTTGGTTGTGTGCTGTGACAGACCTTCTTGGGCGTTGTAAGGATACCGCGTTCTACAACTCTTCTACCACGCTGCGTGGGCAGCGGGCGAGGGAGGCGATCCTGATCCTCCTCCTGCTGTGCCCTGGGCAGGCCGCAGCTGGAGCCCAGCTCAACGCACACAGGGAACTCCTGGAGAGACTGGCGGGGGGCTGCAGAGGTGGTCGGGGCCTGGAGCATCTGGTGGTGGGGAAAGGCTGAGAGCCCTGGCATGAGCTGCCCAGGGAGATGGGGGATTCTCCTCCTTCGGAGATGTTCAAACCTGCCCGAGCACTTTCCTGTGCATCCTGCTGTAAGGAAGCTGCTGTGGGGAGAGGTTGGACTGGGGGTCCCACTGGGGGTCCCTTCCAAACCTTTGCCATTTGGTGGCTCGGTCCAAACTCATTTGGAAAGGGAAACCTGAGCAAAATCCAAAAGCAATGGCTCAAGAGAAGGGGAATCAGTCAAAACAGTAATTCTGTGTTTAGTGAACCAGCACAGCATTTCCACTCCGGCCTGTTCCTCTGTTAGCAAAGAGCTGTGGTTGTCATGCTGGGACATGCAGAGCGACGTTAGATTTGGCCTCTATCCTCTTAATGTCCCACTGAAAGTTGTTTCATTGACTTTCTTCCAAGATGCTAATCAGATTTACAGTGAGCAGATCGTGTATAAATAAAGCTGTTAGCAGATCCTCCAAACCTATCATGTACCATCTTTATCATCTGCTGTAGGAATATAGACATGCATTTTTCCTTCACGCTGCAGTGAGTCATTTACCAAAGGCCATAATTATGAAATTTCTATCCTCCCTCTGCACCTACTCATTGCATAGGAAGATAAGAACGTGCTAAAGCAACCTTCAGCTACTTGTGAATTGCTTAAACCTGACATGACTGAATTTCGATTTCTGTTTTCTTGTTTTAGGTGATCCCCAAGCATAAGTTTGTCCTTGTGAAGTTTGATACACAGTACCCTTACGGCGAGAAACAAGATGAGTTCAAAAAGCTGGCAGAGAGCTCAGGCTCCAGTGAAGATCTTCTGGTGGCTGAAGTGGGTATATCAGGTGAGGAGCTCTGAGCAGATTGGCACGCTGTGCTTGGGTGTGGAAAATGAAACGTGCTGCAGGTTTGTAGCAAACCCTCCGTGTTCTGCTGATGAAGCACAGAAAGCGGTCAATGCACTAGAGCTGGTGCAGTTTGATCATCTTGCAATTGGCTTCAAGAGAAAAGCACTGAGGAGCGCATCAGCCACTGCACTTCCTCTTGCACTGTGGGTAGATTTAAGAATTTGAATTTTAAATTTCCCCCATGCTGACTTCTGTAAGCACAGATGGATTTACCTACGTAGCATAGCTGAAATCCCTTCATTAACATAACTTGAAGAACAGCAAACATCTTGCTGCTTAGCATGCTCTCTACACATAGGACAAGAAAAACAAAACTGTGTAACTGTAAAATCAAATGAAATCAATGGATGGAGCAAAACAAGAACAAAAAAAAATATATCAAAATTTCTCATAAGGAGAAGTGGGTTTGTACATAGAAATGCTGGTGATGACTCGTGCTATCGCAGCCACAGCAGAGCATCGTTAGGCTTTGGGATTTTCATTTGGAAAACCTAAGGATGTATTGCCTGGAGTGTTTTTGATGCAGTGTGTGGCATTTCATGGCAAAGAGGTCCTTAGGAGATAAATACTTACCGGTTTGTGTTTAAGAGAAAACTGTTTTATTTCTTTTGATTAGCATATTGTGCTTTTCTGTGTTTTCTCTCATGACAGATTATGGTGATAAACTAAACACTGAGCTGGGAGAAAAGTACAAGCTGGACAAAGAGAAGTACCCTATCTTTTATTTGTTCCAGGACGGTGACTTTGACAATCCCTTACCTTACTCTGGCCACATTAAAGCCGGGGCTATTCAGCGCTGGCTGAAGAGTAATGGCATCTACCTGGGGATGCCAGGCTGTCTGAAGGAGTATGATGTGCTGGCCAGCAAGTTTATGAGTGTCACTGACAAGTCAGAACGCCAGTCCCTCCTAAAGAAGGGGCAGCAGAGCTTAGAGAAAGCAAAGGAAACCGAGAAGAAGTCAGCTGAGCAATACTTGAAAATTATGAGCAAGATATTGGAGCAGGGAGAAGAGTTTGCTGCTAACGAAGTTGTCCGAATCACAAAACTGATCGAGAAGAACAAAATGAGTGATGGAAAAAAGGAGGAGCTCCAGAAAAGCCTCAATATCCTCGCTTCTTTCCTAAAGAAGAATAATGAAAAAGATGAGCTCTGATATGCTGGGGAACTTTGTACAAGCTGTGAAACACTGTCAAGTCCTAACCAGTTCTCCCAGTGCAAGCAAACTTCCCGCTGACTTCAAGAGAACAGCAGACGTCCTTGAATCCTCAGTTATGAGATCAAGAGGAAGCAATGCCTCAAAACCAGTATTCTGCGTGTTGGGAAACACACCTTAAAGCAAGCTGCCGTACTGTGAAATATTATTAAATAACAGTGTTACAATAGACCAAAAAAAAAATCACTATATTGGCCTGGAGCAAATTCCCGGTGGTTTTTACATCTGTTCCCTGGCAAACCAATGACAAAATTCAGTCTCACATTCCATGTTTCCAAAGGTCAGAGGTGATGCCCCTACCATGCCCACCTGTCCTTGCCTTCTAATGTTCCTGGGTTTTGTTCTGTTCGCCCCTCATCCCTCCCTCTTTCTCCCCCGTGGGGTTTTCTCTGAGTCCTCTCCTTACCTGCTGCTGACTGAGAGCTGCCATTTCCTTCTGCCTTTTCCAGAGGCTGTTGGGCTGAGGGTTCGATCTGCACATCACAGCTTGTCCTGCTGCAGCAGAACCCCTTTGTGGTACCCAACAGAGCCAGGTCTGAGCACTGAGGTTTCCTCCAGCTGCAGTTACATTTGGGCTCACCCATTTGTGCAAAAATGCTTTTTTTCAGTGGCAGATTAAATTCAGGTGAGTTTTCCCATGGCTGAAGGCATCTGATGCTTTTTTGACTGTTCTTCCTGTCCAAACTTCACCTCATGAATTAGAACAGGAGACAGAAAGGGACATTTAACAGTTCCAAGTGGTCGCTAACACGAAGAAAATACTTTCTCCAGCCTGATCTTCAGAATGACACTGTGAAACTAAAGCTTCAGCAGCCCTTGTCAGAGTTAAAACTATTTAAAAAACGAGGTCTTGCGACAGGAAGAAAAAAGCATTAATTCCTTTAAAAGCTTTTCCTTAAAAGCTCTGTCAGGATCACAGTCAAACACCTTCACGTTTTACCTTGAGACTGTGCTTTCTGCTAAGCAAATTGGTTTCTGTGGGAGCTTTGCTGCCTTTTGAATCCTGGGGTGGGGATGAAGAGCTGCAAGACGAAATGTATTAATATTGCTCTGATGATAATAATAAAAACTGGTTCCAACAAATAGCCGCTGCTTAAACCGCTTTTTTCTAAAGGAACGGCTGCTGGTTTGCGGGGTTGGTGGGAAGGTGAGGCTGGCTGAGGCTCCTGAGGAGGCGCTGCTGCCTCAGCTCGAGGACCCCTGAGGCGACGGAGCCCGCGCGCCCCCTCAGCGCTCCCGCCAACGGCCGCCGCGCGCCCCCTCAGCTGCCGCCGCCCGCGCGCGCAGCTCGCAAACGCGTTCCCGCCCACGGCCTCTCGTGACGCCATCAGCGCAGCCGGCAGGGATGGGGCGCGCGGCGCCCATGTGCTCCGAGGGGGGGCGGTGTGGCGAAGCTAAGCAGGGTCGCCCCCGGTCCGCTGCTGGAGGGGAGACGACAAGAGTTCGGGATCCCCGCGAGCTCCGCTCTACGGCACAGCTCCCCGCACCGCTATTCCCGGACTTCTGCCCAGCTCTTAAGCGGCCCCGAAGGCGGGGGCGGGCCGGGGCGCGGTGTGGTCCCGGGGCGGAGCGCGGGCGGTGCTCGGAGCCCCGAGAGCTGCGCGGGGATCGGCGGCGGTGCCCATGGCCAGCCCGGAGGCGGCCGCGTCCCGGCTGGAGTCGGGCTGGCAGGAGGTGAGCGCGCCCGGACGGCCGTTCTCTCAGCTGTCGTGGGCTGCGAGAGAGAGTTGTGCAGGGGCTGCCGGGCTCCGTGCGGCTCTCCGTTAGGAAAAGGTTCTTCACGGGGGGCGGTGGGCACGGAACGGGCTCCTCCCGAGCTGCTGGAACTCGGACGACGCCCTTAAAGCAGGGCCGGGGTGCCGTGTGGACGCTGCGTTCCCTCGCGGCTCATTCTCTGGTTCTCCCTCAGGTCTACTCGGCTCTCCAGTGGATCCATTTCACCATGGCCATGCTCAGGTACAACGGACGGGCCCCAGCAAGAAGGGAGATGGTGTATTCCGGCCGTGAGCATGTTCCCATCCCAACCTGTGCTTTGTTCTGTCAGTGTTATAGGTTCCAGCTCCATCATCACTTACGCCATCTTTCAAAACGTGGTGCGATCCCCCGAGGTAAGGACTATAAATCACAGAATACCCGACTTGAAAGAGTCCTATGAGTATCATTAAGTCCAACTCCTGACTGCAGCCCTTATTCTCTCCACGCTGAGCTGCTGGCACCTTGCACATCATGTTTTTTTTCTGGCTAAACCTTGTTTACGGCAGCTGGGAGGCAAAGGGCTGCTGCAGAGTGTGACCCTTTGTCCATAGTGCAGGTTTGAGATTAACCTTGAGCTGTGCTGCGCAGGGAGAAGCGGGTTCCTTAACACCAGCTGAGTCCTCTCTTGGGAATGAGGTTTTGTTGGTGTGCTCTCCTTTACAGGGCAAAACTCATGGAGGGATGAGGAGCTGTGCACAGAGCTGCTGGGGTGTAAATCTTGTAGGAGATGCAGGGATAGGGGTCTGTCTGTGGGTTTTTCTGAGTTGTTTTCGCAGGCGGGTGAAACTGGCTGCAAAACTGCAAACTGAAGCTGCTGAAACTGGTACAGCTCAGAGGTGCTGCAGAGTTCAGGCTAAACTAGACTGGACTGAACAGCAGTTTGTTGTGCTGACAAACTCAGCTGAGCTTTGAAAGATTTCACCTTGGCCATATGCAGGAACAGTTAGCATTTCTAATGCCAGAGCAGCACCTGTCAAGTCCCAAGTGCATCACACTTTGGGATCCTGTGTATCCGGGATAGACCAGTCACAACAGACTCCATCCCAAGCCTGCCACGCTTTTCTGTCCATGTAAATCCCCCTCTGTCCATCCAGGACCTGAGGCAGTGCACAGAGCTGTGTGAAGCTATGGTTCTTTGTCTGGGATTTGCAGCCTGGTCTGTGGACCATGCAGATAACAGGTTACTGCTAAGAGCAGTAGAATGGTACAGCTGGCAGCTGCGTTGTAACAGAGCTGTCTTTATACTCCCCTTGTCTTCAGCGTAGGTTTGATCATCAGCCCACAGTCAGGGACCTGCAGGGAATGCAGTAAATTATCCTCCGTGAAGGAAGGCATGCAGACAGGCTAACAAATGACATGCCGCTGGATGAAGCAGGGTGAGGAGGAGAATGTATGTCCAAGGCAGATTGCTCCTAGGTAGCCAGAGCCTCACAGAAATAGTGTGCCCAGCACATCCAGAACGAGCTGCAGAGATCTCAGGGTACTCCCATTGAGGAAGGAGAGCTGGATCTCTGCCTTGGTGCTAGGACAGTTGCTTCCTGACTTCATGCTGCACTTGGTGCCTATCAAAAGCTCCTTCAGTTAAGAGCTGCTGACACATTGCCTGCACCTGGAGAGCACTGGATGTGGCTCTTGAGATCCTCCCCTCTGGTGCAGTGTGGCGCTGGGTGAGGGTCCCAGAGTGACTCAGCAGCCCCAACCCATTGACTTCCAGTCCGCATTACTCAGGAGCCCTCGTGCTATTTATTGGTCATATGATGTGTCTGTGGCTCTCACTGCTTGTGAATTACACATGGCTCCAATTCACAGATGAGCTGTTGCTGCTCAAGAGACTCCAGATGTTTCTGCTCAGATTATTATTGCAAATCTGGATAGGGTGGATATCAGCCAGAATGACCCCTTTTACATCAGGCTTCCAAGCTCTTGTTCTGCTGCTGGGGGATCCACTGCTGGTGTTTCAAAAGCAGCAAACTCTTCACTAACTTCCCCATCCTCTTGTCCCCACACTTCTGGTTTTATGGGCAGATTTGCAAACAAAGGGGCTGGAAGAAATCCATATCAAAGTTTGCCACAAACTGAATATTCCCTGGGTCATGAGACTCCAGAGTAGAATATAAACAGCTCTGGAGGCTGGGAGGAGAAAAATGTTATAAACACTTCCCCCTCCAACCCCCAGCTGAGGAAATAAAATATTGCATTCTTGAAACTTTTTCTTTTTTTTTTTTTTTTTTTTGTATCTATGAAGTCAATAAAACTTCAGCGTGAGCTAAATCATTCAGAAGAAATGATGGCAGGCAATGAACGTGGAATTTCCTCTGTCATGTCAACAGGTTCTCTGCAGGCAGATGCCTCTGGGCAGTGGCCAGGCATAGCAAGATCAACACGTATGCTCCAGCTTGGCAGCTCCCCTGAATCATTACGTCTTTACATTCCCTTCCTCTATTTTATAAATACCATTTGTTTGTTTGGTTGGTTTTTTTCCCTTTTGCAAATAAGAACCATGTTGCTTTTTGCTTACAACTGTGCGACCTACTCCTTTGTTTAGGTCTCTGCCAAGGTAGCTCCTCAGCCATCTGTGGTGCTTCTCACCAAAAACACGTGTTGCTAGAGAAAGGGCTCACCTGTGTGGATGCAAATGTTGCTGCTTTTCTTATTTCAGAGCTGCTTGGCTCTAACCTGCAGTGCTCACAACCTTAAAGCTTCCCAACCTGCCATCCTCTGCCTGCCAGTGCTTCAGTTCTGCACCAGCAAGGGAAAGTCTGGATTTACCACTGGTTAAAAGAGACATTTGTAAATGTAGTGATGCAGAAGCTAGCTCCAGAGCTATATTTACCGTGTTGCTGTGTTGAGTAGTATGAATTCAGAACTGGAGATGCAAGGCTGTTTGAGGAAACACATCCTGCAGGAAGCAGAGGACTGCTGTGCTGCTGAGTATAATGGGGAGCCCAGAAAGTACCAGGCAATTTGCCCCTGAAACTGCCAGAAGGACAGCTCTGCTTCAGTCAGCTGTGCCTTGGTCCTTTCCAGCCTTACTGAGCTCTTTCTTCTTACTCACAGTGAGGAGTATAACAACACGATGGGTGGCAAGCATTTATCTAAAGAACAACACTGAAGCAAATTTCACCCAAAGGCTCAGTTCCATGAAAAAAATTTCAAAATCAAGCCCTGCTGGAATGTTTTCCTTGCTGTGTTTAGTGTTATAATTTCATATAGGGAAGAAAAGAAGCCATCATTTTCTCTCCAGGTTACTGAAAATTAGGTACCAAAGACTACAATTAAGAATCTAGATAATTAGGCTGCTTTTCCAGAGTGTGTGCTCCAGCCCTAACAATGTCAGTGTTGGCCAGAACTTTGCACAAATATTTTCCTGCAGTGTTTACAGCCCTTTTGGCCAGTGAGTGGAAACTGGAAGTAGGGTGGAAACTGCCCTTAGAGGAGATGTGTCTCTGTTCCAGGCAGATGCAGCAGCACATGCGAGCAATGTGTGACAACATTCAGTCTTAGTCATCAACTGAAATGTCATAAAAACATAGGAAAAATGTCTGTTTTGAGTAATTTCACATCTGAAGAAGAGATTGTGTTTACCTGATGTTTGATTGTTCTTTTAGTTGATTTCATAACAACGTCACTTCTCCCTGCAAACCTGTCTCATTCTGCCATAGTGTAGCACTGGGGACCTTTGAAATGTTTTCTGTTAAGGTTTGATGGTGCTTGTGGATCGTGGGGCAGAGAAGGCATTTAGAACAGGGCATCTGCACAGAAGCAGCTCCTCAGGGCAAGAATCAGAGGGCTTTTATCTGCCCTGCCTACAGAACTGGGGGTGAAAACACATCTAGATGCTGTTGGTGGCCACGGGGCTGCTGTGACCATTGTTCAAACCTGCTGATTTAACTGCAATTTAACTTCTTTCAGGTTCGCCCTTTATTCTACCTGAGTCTCTCTGACCTATTTCTGGGCATGTGCTGGATTGCCGGAGCACTGCTTTATAGCACACCAACCTCCAAGCACGATCTCATCTGCTACAACCTGCAGGCAATGGGACAAGTAAGTAGCCTTGGCGTCACAGTTTGTGCTCTTACGTTGTGCTCACTGCTGTAGTCAGTCCCCCAGTGATCACAGCATGGCCTGTGGGACTGTTTCGAGACAGGCTTTGGCACAGGATCCCCCTGTGAACTTGGCTTAGCAGATCTCTTTGTTTGTACAAGAGATATTACAGTGCTAGGGTGTGGGTACGAGTGACTTGTGAGAGGCAGTAAGAAAGGCAAGGAGAGCATGGGATGTTGTGGTTACAGTGTTTGGATAGCTTCTGTAAAGTGAGTAGATAGATCTTTATCTATTTCCTGATGGCCCAGTGCCAAAGATTATCTGCGTGCTTCCCATACTGCAGCTTTTCAATTCCTCTTCACGCTTCTCCCATTCTGGGCAGGAACAGATGCATTCTGCCATTCACTTAGGCTAAAGCTTAACATGTTAGTCGAAGAGCTGTGACCTACCTTCTCACTGACTAGGTCATGTGGATGCTCAGGGACTGCTGTGTCCATTCAACCTCAGCACCATGCCCCAGCGATTCACTTCCAGCATTCAAGCTGATTTCTGAGCCTAATTGGAGTGGAATGAGTGAAATGCCATTTTCCTGATAGTTTGCTTTCGTCTCACCAAGTTCCCATTACCACATTAGGTGCTGCATATCACTGCTCTTGAAAAATTCTTCAGGGCACAGCTGAGTGTGGACCACAGCATTGGTTTGTAAGAGGTGGTCCCTGGTCTTAATGGTTTTCTTTCAAAGTACCTACAAAAATGTGTCTAGGAAGAGCAAGTGGCTGTTGGGAACCTGTGTGTGTGTTGTGAGGGCTGGTCCAGCCCCTTGGAGCAGGGTGGTACCCACAGATAGGAACTGTCTCTGCTGTGTTGTAGCATCCAAAGCTAGCAAGGCTCTCTGTGTTCCTAAAGAGAGGACAGGGAATTGTATGGTGTGAGAACAATCACAACTGCTCTGTGTTTGGGGATGGGTGTTTGCTGCCCTGGGATATTTTCAACAGCTGTGCCTTTGGGTGAAATCTTGTTACTCACGGTGGTGAGTGCTGTGCTCAGACAGCAGCTGTTCCTCTTCTGGCTCATCTCTGCTTTCTCAAGCTCCCTTGTGCTGCTGTGGAAGCAGTGTAATATGTTCATTCTAAGAGAAGCAATAGTGCAATTGGCCATTTGAGAATGAGGCAGAGCAATATCAAAGATATCTTTCAGATGATGGTAGAGGGGAAAATGAGAATAGTTCAAGAGAGGCTTTTCAGAGCCTGAAGGTAGAAAGAGCCTGCGGAGATGTGGAAGAGGCATCGCAGAGATGTTTCCCTTGTAGCTTTGCCTGGGGGACAGTTCTTGAAGTTCAGTGCTGGAGTGATGTTCTTAAAGCCTGGAGAAGACATTTCAGTGCTGGAGGAGAAGGAGGTTGGTTGCATACAACGTAGCATCATTTCTCAGTGGTGACACAGCATGCTGTGCTCTCTTGCCTTTCTGGCTCTTTTTTACCCTTATTTTTTCTGCCTGTGAGCAAGCTTTTCAGGGACACTGGTGAAGGGAGGGATCTTTACTCCTACAGAGTCTTTGCAGGACTTGTCAGGGTGCAGTGCTGGGGTGTGTGGGGTGCCTGTCCCATCCTAAGCTCAGCCACAGGGTAACTGGTCCTCAGCAGCAGGACAGCTGAGATAGCATGCATCTGGCAGGAGCTCTTGCTGCTGTTTGCTCTGTGAGAAATTAAAACAAATGGAGCACTTGCCATAGCAACAGCACCCGCATGGTGCATGTGACACGGTAGAGGACACCTCCTTGCTCAACACCCCAGCAATGCTCCTGTGTGGTGGGAACATCTTGTGCATATGTAGGAGCCAGCAACAGGTTTGACTGGTGCCTTCTACAGAGTATAAGTGATCTGTAACTAAATGAAATGTGAATAAATGTCTCCTGGCCCTGTCCTGCCTGTGTGGAGAGGAGAAGTCTTACAAGGCTTGCACTCCTGGGTGTCTCATATATACATGTGGCTTGTTTGCACACAGACACCTAAACTCTGTAAAATGCAGTGAGCCAGGGGAGCTTAGCACTCATGTTTACAGAGAACCACATCATACTGCATATGATTTGGTTGTCTGGAAGCATTTCCTTAGCAGCAGGACAGTATTCTGGCTTATGCAAACTGTTGACCTTCAGTTTATTACCAAGGACTGAAGTTCCTGCTGATGGAATTCCCTTAGCATCTCTACCTCTTATAAAGGAGGAGATGGCTTTATTTCAAAGACTTTTTTTGGCTCCAGACTCTTGGTTAAACTCACGATATTAAATGTAAATAGTGCTCCCTTCTGCTATGCCTTGACTTTCTTCTTTTCTCCTCCTTACTTTGCGTTTGCATTGCAATACTGAAGTTCAGAGCAGAGATTGTGGTTATAATTGCACAATTCCCCCACATTCTTCCAGTTCAGTTCCAGTGGCCTAATAATGTCCTGGCAAGCTCCACTCATGTTGCTGAGCACAATGGCGAGCCACAGAAATGTTATAATGAGGGACTTCCATGTCTCCCAGCGCCTGCTCTGTCTCCTCCTACAGGACTGTCCCCAGCCCAAGGTAGGGCTCAGGGGAGGAGAACTCCCTTCTCTTCTTTCTGGAGACTTCACAAGTTCCTTCTTCCAAAAAAGAATGCAGTGCTGACATTTTGAGCTCTCCAAAGCGTTTTGAAGTGCAAAGGAATTATCTTTGTGGACTGTTTTGATGACTTTCTCTGGAAGTAATTGAAGAATGGCAATGAACCCTCATTAAATCTCCTCTAATGAGCAAATGAGTCACTGGAATATTCCTGCTGCAGTGCTAACAGCCCCTTGGACTGAGCCTCTTGAGAATCAGCCAAGAGTGTTTGCAACCTCAGTGAAGGAGACCAGGTTTATTTAGTGACTGCATTCCTGGACTTAGATGATACCAGGTTGGCAAACCTGTGCTCCATGCTTCTTTGGCAAAGGGTAGAAAATCCACAGGAAAATTCAATAGCCCAGCCCTTCCTCTTTGCCTTTGTCACTGAAGCATGTGTTTCCTGTAGCAAACAACACACGCGTATATATATCTCGAGGTCAGGCAGCGCTGTTTGCACTTGACTGCCTGGAGAAACCATGGCTGGGGATTCAGAAAAAGCACAAGAAAGATTTGTTCTTTTTGCAGAAGATTTCAGGTATTTGGTTTCATCTCAAGCTTCAGTCAGGGGGCTGGGAAACTCACTGTGGGGAAACAGTTTTTGTATCTTTTCTTTCCTTCTTTCTCCCACAGAGGGAAAAGGGCTCTTAGCTTGTTAATGTTCACTTACTGTGAAAGCATTGTATCCTCTGCCCCCTCTTTCCTCTTTAAAAATACTATTGTTTTCTGTTTCTGTGAATTCACTGCGTGGTGAGCTCATTACATGAGTTACAAAATCTAAGTGCCACATCTGTGTTGTATTTCCTAATGGATGTAAAATAAAGAAGATCAAAGTGCCTTAACCCATTTTATATGGTCAGAATTTGAGCCAAAAATGAGCCAAGTCACAAAGGTATGTATTTACAAGATAGTCCTTGGGTCATCAGCTTTCGTGTCCCTGATTTAGGGCCAAAGGAAAGTTGCTTTTGTGCAGGCTAAGGTGAGAACCCCTGCACATTCATCCCACACCAGTGCTGGTTGGGCACCTCGCCTTTGCCTTAATATCCTGCCTTTGGCCCATGCTTCATTGTTGAGGAACTAATGCTGCTACAGGAACTATTATTATAGAGCTAAAATACTGGTTGTTTCTATTTCTCAGGTATTCTACGTGGCCTCTTTTCTATACACTGCCAACTACACCTGGCATCTGTACATGGACCTGAAGATGAAATACAATCAGAACCTTAACAGGATGCCCTCCACAGTAAGTAGGATGATAATGCACAACAGCTGTTGGGTACTGAGGTATAACTGTGTGGGGTTTAAGAAGTGCATGTATGACAGTTTATCTTGTCAGAAGGACTTTGAAGGTCCTTGTGCCCTGTGACTGTATGAACTGATGTATCTTGGTGGACCACTTAGGTCAGCAGAGATACAGCTCAGTCTGCTACAGCATCTCAGTGAAAGATTAAGCTTGCAAGACTGAAATGGGCAAAAGCAGTTGTCAATGCATGTCACAGAGAAGAGGAAGCTGAGGACTGTGTATTGGCGGAGTTCTTCTGCAGAACAGCAGTTTGCACCAGTTGAATAAACAGTTTATTGCTTTCGCTGCCAGGGCATGGCAGAGGAATGGCTCTCTAGAGTAAAGGAGAGCAGCAGGGACCTGAACAGTTTGGAACAGAGAACTGCAATTTCTGTCCTCCCCAGATGTCATACAGAATTCAAGAATGTCAGTAGTGTATTGTGAGAGTTTGAGGTAGGTGTGACAGAAGGGACTGCTGATAAAGGAGTGAGTTGGCTCCATGAAGAATGGGCGGTCCGGACTTCATCATCACTGACCTTTATAAAAGCCCATTTTGGAGCTGGTGTAATCACTGGGAACTGAGAAACAAGGACATAGTACTCAAATACACTCTTTGAGTTACAGGCTAAACAAACACTTCACACGCCATGTGATCAAAATCTCTACTTGCAGTTGTTTCATTCCTCACACCTGGCTAAACAGTTGCTCTGTAACTGAAATTCTTCCTGTTATGCTGCTGCAGGACAACAGACTCTTTATGCAGCTCTTCCCATTGAACACATCAGCCCCAGCCCTGCCTGTACCCTTCCTCTTCCCCAGACATTTACTGTACACAGCAAACTTTGAGTCTCAGGTACTCCATCTGTCTGTGCAGGAGAAGCAGGTGGGACAGACCAGTCTGTATTTCAAAGGGTCTTGTTTGTATCTACTTGTAGGATTGGTTTCTTTCTTGATGGACTCCCATTCAAAATGCAGCACTTACATTGAGTTCCCTAGCACTACAGCTGTGCCCACATTGTATTCTCACAGCTGGTGCATGGATGCCAGCTGACAAAGTACATTTCCTGGTGAGCTGAGACCGGGACATCCAAATTGCCTGCATTTCTTCATCAGAACATGAATTTTCTGAAGAACAGGGCCAGGTTGGATGAATAAGGAGTACAAAGAATGACTATTTACACCAAGGAGCTCATACAGTGTCTGCTACTTGTCTGGTTCAAAGTTTCCCTCTCCAGTTCCCACATTTTGAAGAAGGACATGTCAGTAAGCTTGTGGAAGTGTAGCTTGTGTCTATTGCACGTCAGCATTCACTGAACCCTGCAGTACTGATTCAATGCGAAGTGGAAACAAACATTTGTATTTAGTGTGGGGATTTATCAGCACTTTAGAACCTGGAGCTGCTGGAGTGCTCCCTAGGAGCTGGTTGCTGGGAGCCACTGGCTGTACAATCATTTAACTAAACTGTTTGGACTTTGCAGGCTGTAGATTATGCAAGTTGCATTGGCCGAGTAGCAACGATTTTGTCCAGGTAAGATTCATTTCCCTCTGGCAAAATGATGTGTTTGGTAAATTATAATGCACTGATCCTGCTTTGTACTTACTCTGATGTGAGCTTTACTGAATGCTCAGAGCAAGAGTCTTTGGATGCAAGGGCCTTCTTCCAGCCAAGTTAGTTATAACCGTATTAACTATATATAGTCTTTTTTCAGAGTGTGCTACCTTTGCCAATTGCCTGTATGAATGAAGTGTGGAAATTAGCAAAGTTGGTAAAATAATCCTCTAGAGCAGTGTCAATAAAAAGAATTTCTAAGTCCTCTGCAGTAACAGAAGAAAGAACGAGGATTGTTTGGCTGGCAGCAGTGCATTGCAATGCAGTAACTGTGCTGTTGTCCTCTCTTCTCTTAGCCTGATCCCTTTTCTCCTAATGGTGCCTGTGTTTTGCCTGGGCAACAGCAGTAACTGCTACCAGAACTTCAGTCAAAAGCATGGGTAAGTCTCATGCTTCTCTCTGAAACAGCCTCACCACTTCTGAGTCATGGCAAGAGCTCAGGCTGCTCCCTTTCTCCCCACAGGTGTCTCTTGATGCACACAGAAATGGCTGAGCCCACCAACGAGCCGCTAACATTGAGCAGCTCTGTTTGCCGAGCAATGCACTTCTATGGCATTGGGGTCTTCCTTGTTTCCTTTCTTATCAGCTTCATAGCCATTCTGGTAAGAAACATAATCCTTACATGCTAGCCATTGCACAAGCTGGATAGTGTGAGAAGTTCTACTCCATTTCATCATTACATGAGTCACAAATTTCTTTCCATGCAAGATGTTTCTCAGTCTGCCAAGTTTGCTTGGATGATATTGTCAGCCAGACAGTGTGGGGAGAAAATTTGTGCAGTGCTGCTTTCCTTTTGGAATAGTTGGAGGGAAAGAGAAAATATAAATCCATCTGGAGCAGCCCATCTCAAACAGGACTTAGTAGGTAGAGGAGGCTTACAGAATCGCGTGCCAGCTCAGTGCAAGAGACCAATCAATGAAGAGTTCACAGTTCAGAGAAGATCACTTTCTCCTCAGAAGCACAATGTTGCGTAGTGTGAAGAGGTTTAATAGAGCTGACTTTGAGGATTTCACCAAAAAACATAAGATACTCTGTTCTGCAGAGGGGCAAGTGAGATCTGAGCATGTGTTCAAAACACAAGCAAGAATGTGTGCTTATTCTTTTCAGGTTGTACTCATTCAAGCCCGAGGTTTGTACAAAAGGTTTGTAAACTCCACGGGATTCCTGGGAGATCAGCAGTGGGCAATGATTAAGATGGTGGAACAACGAGTGGTTTTTTACCCCATCGCATTCTTCTGCTGCTGGGCCCCAGGTTAGCAGTGAGCTGAGTTACAGTGACAGTATTCTCCTGAGACACAGTGCCTGGCAACGAAAGTTGAAGCAGGTGAGGTTAAAGCAACACCCTTTTGTCAATCCTTTCTCACAGCTGTCCTCCTTGGAATACTGAAGCTGACAGCTTCAACAAGCAGCAAAATCTACATGGCTCTTCTCATTCTACAGGTACAAACTTCACCCTCTGATGATTTGCTTTCTCTGCTTGAACAGATGAAATAGTGTTTGTCTATTTCTAATCTCTGCTCGACAAAACAGGGCTTTTCTAGCTATGAATGTAAATGCTTGAGTTGAACTTCTGCTTTTTGTTGGCAAAGAAGTTCTTTCTTGGTTGCTATGTTTTTTGCAGACTTGAAAAGGTCTCAGTAACCAAAATCACACTATCATGGAGATCTCATTAAAAAGGACTAGAAGAGTTCCTAAAAATTCAGTTACATTTTTCGTTTTCTCTGAGACTCTGATTGCAGTTCCTCCCCAGCACTTGTCCAGCTGTCTGATGTGCCGGAGGCAGAATTTAGCAGGGATTATTAAAATAACCATGAGATTTCTATAGCACATGGGGGCTGCAGATAGATAAAGTCATGCTGGAAGTGGGAGGCCTGGAGTAACGTCCCAGTTTTGACAGCCTGGCAGGGAGCTGCTGAATGCTGTGCAGTGCCAACTGACAAAGCAGCCCTGATCTCCCTTGCCATCTCTCCCAGGCACTGACAGCAGCTTCCCAGGGACTTCTGAACTGCATTGTGTATGGCTGGACACAGCACGTCTTCCTCTCCCTCAAACGCAACATCTGCCGCGACGTTGACACTCAGACTCCTCTCCTGCGCTCTCAGAAGAAATTCTATGCCAGCACACTCACTGCCAGCCCTCCGGACACTGAGGTGTCCACATCTACCCTGCTCTGATGAGTTTCTGCAGCAAAAATGAGAGAAGGCAGCATCCCAATGGGCCTTGTCGTATTTTAGCAAAGTCAGCCAGCACAGCTGTTGGGCTGTCTTGGTGTGAACTGTTTTGTCTTCAGCACAGTTAACTGTAGTGCTATGAGAGCCCAAGCAGATCTGTCAGAAAAGCACTTTTAGTGAAGGTAGTTATTTATTTTACAGATTTCTATGGACTTGAACGGGATTCTTTAAACCTGGTAAATTTTTAGCACAGGCTTTCTCCTTATGGAAATATCTCTAGAAATACAGCAAATTATATGTAACAACTCCAAGACTAGTACAGCTCTAGAGGGCATGTGGTCAAAAGATGTTTTACTTTTCTAAGTGTTTGTCAGGTATTTGCCATTACAAGTTAACATTAAAGCAAAGATGAATATTTTTAAATCCATCTTTCAATTCAATGTAAAAATAAGAGCAGGCACCCTCCTGCTAGCCAGCTGTCTGGAGCAAGACTGCAGAGCTGGACTGGATGATCTTAGAGACATTTTCCAACCTTGGTGACTCAATCATCAGCACACACTTCCATGCTTTGACTTTTCTCACATCTCCCTTCATGCCAACTCCTGCTTGGCCACAACACTCAGAAAATTAAGGTTCTTCAGCCCAGCGGAGCACCTCTCATGAACCTGGAGAGCAGGACTGCACGTGCATCTGTGTGTGCTCCTCTAAACGCTCAGGTGAATTACTGAGATCCCGTAAATGTGTCTTTAGCTGCAGTGAGAGGAAAACAACCCTGTATTTTTCATGCTCTTTAATTTCTCACAGTTTCATTTTTAGGGCCCAACCGAAATTTATTTACATAGTTGGTTATACAACAAGAGGAAATACTCAAGCTTTGTGTAATTAACTTTTATACAGTTCACACAGTTACGTTACATAAATCACTTTGTACAAATCTGGGACTGTCAGTCAGGGTTCAGGGATGTACGCACAGAGCCCCTCAGTCCTTCCCAAAGCTCAGCTGATGAGTTTCCCAGTGCTTTCAGGTTTTTTAAACTTCTTCTTCTTCTTCTTCGTCTTCTTCCATATTCTGCTCCTCATTTTCAGGAGTTTCAGGTGTCTCTATGGATGAATTTGTACAGAAAAGTGTAATTATTACATTGATGTATTTGATTGCAGCAATGAGGAGAGCAACTAGAACGAGGGCAATGAGAACAGTGATTCCTATTGCAGTCCCAAAAGCTTTATTTTGGACAGCCTCTGCAATGGAGATCATGAGAGCTGGTGGAGGACCACTGTCCATGCTGCCCCCGAGGCCATGGAACTGGCAGTCTGGTGGGGCCCAGCCAGCTTTGCAGTGGCAGTGTTCAAGGTTGTTACAAACCCCATTCCCCTTGCACAAAACCTTTGCATCACACTTGGTTCTGACGATGACATCTGTGCACGTTTTGTTAATGCAGATCTTCTTTGGACCACATTTGGTGCCGTCAATTCCTCCTCCGATATCAGGTGTATCTATGCTAGCATGGTGGGCTGTGCCCCAGCACCAATCCTCAGGCCCTGGCGTCTGAATGATGGTTTCAGACTTCTCCAGAAAGGCTGTCTTCTTTACATTCACGCACTGCAGCCTTCCACACAGAGCGTTTTGGGGCTTACATTCCACAAAAGCAACTTCATTCCCATCGCCGCCGCAGTTGCCAAATCGATCCCCTTTCATGTTCTGCTCTTTGAAGCAACTTTCTGGAGCGCTCCGAGCTTCATCCCCAAAGACTTTTCTGCATAGTTTGTCATGGGACGCACATTTCCCACGGTAGCAGTAACCATTGTCACCGCAGGGCGTCCCGTCTTGCATGTGCAAATCCTCTGGACACCACTCGGAAGTCCCATTGCAATACTCAGGCAAGTCACACTCATCTACCTCTGACCTGCACTTGTGCCCTGGAGGGTGAAAGTGGCACTTTTGACAGCACTGCCCAACAGAGCAGACAGCCCCCGGCTTCAACCTGCAATTCTGGAAGCAGCAAGGATTGCCTTGGCAGTGCTGCAGGCCCCCGCAGTCACACTGCTCTCCCTCATCTATCACCTTGTTGCCACAGGTCTTAAAGTAGAACAATCTGTTGGGCTCGGGGATGTTGTTTAAGCAGTTGCCATCCCCTCTGTTGAGCAGGTCTAAATAGCTTTGAATGCTGCAGTTGCTGAAAGCCGTGGCACCGTCGATTGAACCTCCCGTCATGTAGCACTTGGCATTTCCACACCTGCACTCCTTTCTATCGTGCTCCATCCCCAGGTTGTGACCCAGCTCATGGGTAAAAATAGTTGCAAAGATCACAAAATCTTCTTGTATGTGAGATACAAGACCTGACTGGTAGCCGGGGTAGCAGATGCTGCCTACGTACGCCAGCCCAACAGTGAGTCCAAAGTCTGTGTAAGTGAAAAGATGTGCAATGTCGTATTTTATCCTATGGGAAAGATATCTATTTCCCCAGTCATTAAAATTGGTAAGAACTTCTTCTATATCTGGGCTGTACCTGATGAAGTTGCCGCGCGTCCAGATCTCCAGCCCAATTAGGCAGATGCGGATCTTCAGAGGATAATAATGTATTTCTGATAAATTGATCGTATCTATAACCAGAAACATCACAGAGGTTTCATTGCTCCCTTGGAAGGTAAACAGCTGGTGGTCCACCACGACAAAGATCTCCACGTACCTGGTGTGCTGCAGCCTCTGATCCAAGCTTTGCTTCCCTAAGGGTTTTTTTGCCCCCATCCAGCTTGGTTGCTTTCGCATGGCTATGTCTGTCAAGCCACATGCCGAGGACTTGTCCCAGCTCTCTCGTCGATAGAGGAGGTGCTGGAAGGTCAGAGAGCCCGGCACAGGCTCGATGCCGTAGCTCAGGTTCCCGATCCTCAGCTGTCCCCTCAGCCCCGCGCAGGTGCTCAGCGCTGCCGTGGAGCCGGGGCTGCCCTCCACGTAGCCCAGGTGGTGGCAGCCCTCAGGGACGTGGGGCTGCTCCACCACCCTCATCCCGCGGGGGCTGTAGGTGATGAGCGGGACGTTGTTCACCACCAGTCCTCGCATCTGCGTGAGGTGGACGATGCGGTTTTCGCCCTCTACCCTGATGACGTAGGACACCTCTCCCTGTGCTGACCTGCCTGCTGCCAGGACCAGTTTCCTCGGCCGGATGATCTCATGGACGGCGTAACCGGGCGGCGGGTGATGGCCGCCCACCTCAGGGAGGAGAAGAGCCCCCAGCACCACCCAGACCCGCAGCCTGAGCAGCAGTGCTGTCCCGGGGGCCTGGAACCATCTCACCACCTTCAAAATGGAGGTGAAGCACCTCACAAAGGCCACCCCTGTCACCAGCATCTCCATCTCCTCACCCTTAAGGCTCTCAGAGATGGCGCCTGGCTGCTCCCTTAAGAAGGTTCTGGAAAGGCCGCATCACTCCCGGCCGCCATGTTGTGATGTGGCAGCCTGCTCCCACAGCACTGCTCTCTAACGGCCCCTCCAACCTGAGCTGTTCTGTGCCTGATTCATTGCCTCGACTCCTTTGCCAGTCTGTTAACCTGTGGTCTCCAGCCCTGTTTATCACACAGCCCTATCGGTATAGGTTTTCTGAGAGCTCCTTCCCAACATACCCATATTTATTTATTTGTAAATTGTGTGCTTGCTCTGCTGTACTTCTAAAACACCCCACGTTGGAGACCTGTGCTGCAAACAGCACCCCCAGGGCACAGGTTGGGGTTACCCCTGCACAGCCAGCCTGTGCTTTTCGTACACAGCTGAATGGGAACTGCTGAGTCCTGGCCTGAAGCACAGATTGAGCAGCTGGGGAAAGGACCAGGTCGGCCCTGGCAGCGCAGGTGGAGGCAATTCATGTGTGTGATCAGAAGGGCTGGAGGCTGCCTGCACCTCTCCTAGACCTCATTTAAGGCTGACTGCCACTGGGGAAGGATTTCTTTCTGCAGATCTCTCCCCTGTGAGCCTAGATCTTCAGGGATGGGTGAGCAGTCCTTTTTTTTCCTTCCCTTATAACACCTTTCTGTGGGGTTTGTCCCTCTGTCATTACGCATCTTGTATCACCTTTCCATTGTGTTGATCCTTCTGGTTGTTACACACTGGTACAAGCAAAGGCTCTGCCTCAGCCACCCTGGGATCCTTGCTGCTCCATGTATCGCTCACAGCGATGGCTGCCTGTGCAAACCATCAGGATTTCAAATGAACCTGAGCCCTTCTGTCATTTTAGTCTTTTTTTTTTTTTTTTTTTTCTTACTGACATCTATCAAAACAATTTCATTTTGCTATCCTACAGAAAAGAAACAGAGCTTCCCAAACTGTACACTTCTATAGAATAAGTTTTAAATGAGTCCACTGCAGCTGTGTTAGGAATCGGTGTCTGAGCCCAGCTGCTGCAGATCAAGTCCTATACTGGGGAGTTTTGACTCTCAGCTGATTTGGATTCACTTTCTTCCTTCTCAGGATCCCCCTCTCTGGACTGACCTCGTCCAGCAGGCCTGCTCAACAGTCGGATTGCCATAAACTTTCTGATGTATTCAATGGCAAGTGCTGCAAGTATCAGAACAGTGCCAGTCAGTATAGTAATCCTGACAATGGACTTAAAAAGCCCTTTTTTCGTGACCGGTGTTGGCCCGCTGTCGATGCTTCCTCCAAAGCCAGCATACTGGCAGAAGGGAGGTGCCCAGCCATTGTCACAGTGACAGTTTCCTTTAGTGTTGCAAACACCCTTTCCTCTGCAGGTTGTGTTGGCAGAGCAGTGGGATGCCAGGTACTTCTCCTCAGGGACACATGTCCGATTGATGCAGATCTTCTTCTTGCCGCACTGCGTGCCATCCTCAATGACTCCAGCATCTGAGGTGTCCAGGCCCACGTGATACTCCGTGCCCCAGCACCAGGTATCGCCCACTGGGGTTTGGATGATGGTTGAGTGATCTGCCTGAGGCAGGTGTCTAACATTAGTGCACTGCACCCTCCCACAAAGGACGTTTTCTAACTTACATTTCTGAAATTTGCTGTCTGTGCCATCTCCCCAGCAGTTACCAAACCGATCCCCTTTTGTGTTCAGCTCCTCGAAACATTGTAGTGGAGCAGGTTGTGCTCTCTCACCAAAGATATTCCGACACTGTAATGTGTGAGATCTGCATTTTCCTGAATAGCAGTATCCATCTGCAGCGCACGTGGTTCCGTCCTGCTTGGCCACATCCTCTGGGCAATGCTCAGATGTCCCGTTGCAGTACTCGGGCAGGTCGCATGGATTGATGCTCTTCCTACACACTTCTCCTTCTGGAAGAAGCTTGCAATCCTTGCAGCACTGTCCAGAAGTGCAGATGGCTCCTTCCTTCTTTTGACAGGTATTGTCACAACAAGGGTCTGACTTACACTGTTCCTCTGAGCCGCAGTCACATTCCTCCCTGTCCTCCAGGAT